ACAACCCCATCTTTCTCCTTTCCAGATCTCCACTCCTCCCGCTCCGGAACTATAAACGTCCGTCCACCCATCTCCCACTTTTCCACCTCATCACCCATCTCTATCCCCTTCACCCTCACATCCACCTGTCCCAGCCTACACCTCGACTGGACCTGTCTCACCACCGATCTCCTCTCCAATCTCCTCCTCCTTTACCCCTCCGGCCCAACTTCTAGTCCCTATTACACATTTTCACCCGGCACTCCCACTCAAGACTCATCCTCTTCCTCATCCTCCCCATCACAAGACACCTACACCATCTCCTCCAGCATTCTCCTCCCCACCAAAACCAAAGGAACAGATTTCAAATCATCCCTCTACATCTCCATTTCCCCCGCTTCGCACGCAGGCGTCGCGGGGATATCAAAAGGGGAATGGAAAAGTTTTATCGGCTTGTTGCATGGGGTTAACAGGGGATTGGAGAGAGAAATGAAGGGAATGGGATGGGGAAGATTAGCAATGGAGGGGAAGTTTCCTTCTTTGAAAACTCCTTACTACTCTGAGAAGAAGAAAGGTGGTAACCGAGGAGCGAGAAAAGAAAAGTTGGGACCGTCGGATATAATTTTTCCTTTTTCTTTTTCTTCTTCTCCTTCTTCATCTGATTCGTCTTCGCTTTCCGAGAAAAAACCAGCGTATCCGCGTGAAGTGATCAAATCCTGGGAAGAAGAAGAACAAAAATTCAAAACGCAGACGGAGCGAAAAGAGGAAGGAGAAATCTCCTTCTCGTATAAAATTACATGGGTATACTACGGTATGACGAGAGATGCGAACGGGAAGGAGATGTTGCGAGAATGTGAGCAGATGCCTGAGGGAGTAGAGATGGATTTTGAGAGTGAGGAGTTTGGGAAGAAGATGAGTGCTGCTGAAGGAAAAGGAAAAGAAGAAGAAGAAGGGAAAGAGGTGAAGAGTGGAGTAAATGAAGCAGAGGAAGAGGAAGAGGAAGAGGAAGAGCAGATGTGGAAAATCGATTTATAGAATACTATTATGGTATTATTTTGGAGAGGATTGGATGGGATGGGATGGGATGGGATGGGATAGATAAGATATCTGGGGAAGAAGGAGTATGGTGTACTTGTTATTGGGTTTGTTATGTACCTAAGTCAGGATTGATATGCATTATGTATGTAATGAATAAAAGAATATATCACAAGCTGTATCGATTATGATGTGTATAAAACAATTGAATTGGAACATGGCGTATATGGGACGAGGGAATCTGGTATTCGTAGATAGGTGTCTATTAGTTTTATGTCATAGAAGTGATATATATCGTTTGTGCTAAATTCATGGGGTTTCGGCTATAGTTGGAGTGTTCAATTCTGTGTGTGTCCTGTCTTGTGGGTAACAATGGCTCCATGTTTAAAAACTAAAGATAAAGAATGAGCCTTTAAAATCGGGAAACACTAACGAGATATCGTCTTAATGTCTAGGTACATGATTTTCCTAGAAGAAATATGATATGGAAAATGACAGTCCAATTTCAGAGATGGGCAGATACAATAGGATTAGTATATGTGTAAAGTATATGCATTCTTCGCTCCCCTCTCATAACCCCCTCTCATAACCCTCCCCCCCTGACTGATTCCCTAAACTCTCACTCACCCCTTCCCAACATCAATTCCTCATACCTCCTCTTCACTTCCGGCATAGCTCTCAGATGCGCCTCCAGCTCCTCTTTTTCATCTTCCAATTTCAATCTCTTTTCCGCATCCAATTTGGTAAAAATATATTTCCCCTGTCCGTCAAATTGTAATATCTTACTATGATATTTCCACAAACTTCTACGATGACTTACTGTCATCAACGTGATGTCTAATGCTTTCGCATGTTCATACATGATTTTTTCCATCTCTAGAGTAACGCTACTGGTGCATTCATCCAGGATAGCATATTTGGGGCGATTGTAGAAGAGACGAGCCATAGCTACGCGTTGTTGAAGGCCACCTGAGAGGACATCGCGCCATTCGGCTTCGGCGTCCCAACCATTGGGGAAAGCTGTCACGAGATGATCGAGATCGAGAATGGAGAGGATGGAGAGGAGGTCGGAATCAGTTATACCTTTGCTACGCATAGTGCGGAGAGAATCGGGATAGATGATTTGTTGACGGAGGGATCCAGCGCTAAGGTATGGTCGTTGAGGAACGTAGAAAACCTGGGAAAGAGGTGGTTTGCGAACGGTACCGCCATAAACCGGCCATAAACCTCCGAGAATCCTGAATAAGGATGATTTACCACATCCATTTGGTCCAACTACTAAAACGTGATCACCACGTTTCATGGAGAATGATAATTTCCGTACGAGAATACTTCCACCGGGAGTGATAATTGGCCTAAGAATCGTCAGCAATTGTAAATGTTAGGTTTAGATAGAACATACACATCAACGAATTCAATATCTTCACTCTCAATGACAGTACCTCTACCTCTCATCAACTCTAGCTGTTCTCCAGAGTCATCGTCAGATACTAAAGTTTTATCAAATCGTCCAGCTTTGATATCATCCATAACCTCCATGAGAGTTGCAACTCGTGAAGTATATCCAGCCAATTCAGTAACCTCTTTGTAAGAGAACATTACTCGACCGAAGGCATCAGAACTAGATAGCAGTAACCTTCGATTGGTTACGAAACTTTCCGTTCGATCACCCATAGTTGCTGCAGTTGCACCTGGTATCTTGAAGAATACCGGAACACTACAAAGAATAAGCCCCAAAGCTCCCCATACGTATTTGATGACGAAATCCTAGAATAATTAGCATTGGCTTCCAAAAACAGAGTTCGCGACCCATACCTCCATTATTCCATGTGTGAATCTTCGTCTCAATATGTCTATCGCGATGTTAGTCGGTGGTCAGAAAAAGCATATGAGAATACTCACAGTTTACATGTTTGATAAGTGTAAAATAACCTTTATCCAAAGTATCTTTTTCCGCTTCATGTCCATTATACAATGCAATCTCTTCACTATAATCTATCAATCTTGAATGCTGAAATCGGAATTCTCCTTCTAGTCTTGCTTCATCTGCCACAAATTTGCCAAAAGGTGGAGTCAAGGCTCGCATGACATTTGCTGAAAGTTGTACCAGTAACGACATGAAAAGAAGCCCTTCGCCACCAACACTTTTGGAAAGAGAATAGTTGTATATTGCCATATCTAATGCTGGTTTTGCAAGGTTTCCATATAACTCCGCCAAACTATTCGCAAATTTTGATACATCCACAGTGATTAATTGATCTGCATTCTTTATTCGATCGTCGAGAGCGGAAAGTGAGTAGAATGTCATATTGGATAGATATCTATCGTGAATGTAATCTGTCAACCGTGTTCGATACTGAAGAGCAAGCTTGCATTGATGATATGAGAGCTGTAAGCATCATGTGTTAGCTTCATTACCGGGTAAGGCCATGTACCAAGTACCAAGTACCACATACCATAGAATTCGTGAATGTTGCAGGAACCGCGATTAACATCCACCAAACAATCCCAATCAAGAAGTCCTTCCCTTTCCCTCTTACTAGACTTGAAACGAGGGCACCATCCATGGCAGCAACTTTCAGACTGATCAAAGTTCTAATGACAAGGAAGATACTGTGACTGACAAGCAGTCGCATTTCCTTACTCCTCCACCCAGGTATACATATTCTCAAAAGGCGTATCAGGTTCTTGAAGAACTCCCTATTCAACTCGACCTTTTTTCTTCCGGCTCCTTGCGCGCCATTGCCTAGTGCAACGGGACCTCTTCTTCGTGATTCCGCATGACGAACAGCTGCAGCCTTTTGTTCGGAAATGGCAGAACGAATCCGATTAAGGAGAGCAAAGAATAATGTCAAATAAACCGTCCGAGAAATCTTTGTTCGATGCTTAAGGTACAATGATGTGAGATCCGATATTATACTCTTGATCGTTCGATCGGGTGGCAGGAAATTGAGTTTGGATTGCGCAGCCATTTTGATGAGCTCGAAGTAGACTCCGGATATACTGTTGCAAGCAGCTCAACGAGTCTGCAGATTAAGTCGCTTCATGAGGAGTACGATGAGTTACTGATGAAAGGCCCAGACGATATTTCAAGTGTAATGTCGTCGTTGTGCATTTAAAAATGTTGCCATTGTTCTACCTATTGCGTTAATGTTTCTGTTTCCTTGGGTCCTCGGCGCATCTTTCACATGCCAGCCCGCCTCCGGGAATGGAGAAATCTGGGGTAAAGGTACCGAGCCACTGACACGTGACTACATTTACATCGCGTTTGTTCATGAACTATTTTCTCTTCCCTAGATCGTTCTGAGATTTTGAAGATTCGGCTAGAATGTGTTCATTGTTATCAATTTCATCCTAAGCTCATCAAGCGTCTATATAAGTTACATTTTCTGAAGGTTTGCTACGATATTCTAATTGCGGCTATTCTGACATTGGTGAAGGGGTTCGAATCACGCGGAGATTTATGCTGTCTACTGTCCTTAGGATCCCACCAAAGATTTCGTGGAGACTCAACCCAACTCAACTCAATTCCACTCATTTCAATCGTACTTCAAATTGACAATGTAAAAATTAATTCTTGCTGGGCTCATGGCTTCGCTATCTAATAACGTCGCCACATATCCACGAAGGATGCATTTTCTGGAGTCGCTCCACGTACACAGCCCTCCTGTAAGGTACTCACTCTGCCACAATCTGACACCCAACCAGATGGCCGACCGTAACCAGCACAGTGAGTATAAAGGTAGGTATTCTCCGACGTGATATCATTATTCTTTTGGAGTTGGTGTCCCGTCAATGTTACGATCAATTTCCACTTCTTTCGCTAGGATTCGAAACTCGTCCGCTTCATGGGTGTGTTCCTGTCAGCCACACATAAAGGTCACACTTCCATCTCTTGACAAAATATATATCCTCAAACAGAGCTGCCTCTCGTTATTTTCATTTTCTTTTCCCAAAAATTGCGACATTATTCCCAACTTCCAATTATGGAAGCGATAGGGACAATCAGCAACATTGCTGGCATTTTGTCCGCCGGAATACAAGTTTGCGAGGGGCTAATCAATTACTATAATACCTGGAAAGGTAGTAAAAAGGAGAATGCCGACATGATTAAGTCTATCGAAGGCCTTTTGACGAACTTTGCGCTACTGAAAGCAGTCTTACAAAGTCCAGCTTTCGATAAGGCAATGACGACAACTGTGGAGTCTAAGATTTTGGACTGTGAAGACAGTATCGCAGAGTTGGGTGATGAATTGAAGAAGGTCATGGTCTGCAAACCTTCTGTCGTAAATGTAGATGATTTGGTCGCGAGAAAAAATCATGACAACCAGGGCTTTAGGGACAAGATGACAGAACAGGGAAGAAGAATTTTATATCCATTCAGAAAAAGTACATTGATGAGGTTGCAAGAGAGCGTCGAACACGTGAGGAGTAACCTGGTTTTTGCTATGGATATTTTGAATTTGTATGTCTCGAATCCACTAAATGTTTCAAAAAATTCTAATCGCCGTCTAGGTCTACGGTATCGACGACTGCAGAGAAAGTCGTCGATATTTCGAACCAAGTTACAACGATTAGTGACAGTGTAGACGCTATTATCACTCAACAGATGGATAAAGAGAGTTTAAAGGTTCTCAAATGGTTATCAGCAATAGATTGCCATTCCAAGCAACGCGAAATATTAAGCCGAAGACAGGAGGGCACCGGAGAATGGCTTTTCAAAAGCCAAGAATACCAAAATTGGCTAGGTGGAAAGGATAGGTTACTGTGGTGCTCAGGCCCCCCCGGAGCCGGCAAAACAGTCCTTACTTCCGCCATTGTTGATGATTTGGAAACAAGATTTTCAGTATCGAATGTTGGAATAGCATTCATATATTGCAACTACGCAGAGAAAATAAGCATCGCCGAATATCTCGCTAGCATTATACAGCAGCTTATCCGACAACGATATGTAATACCGGATTACATTCTTGATTTATATCACAAACATAGGTCTATGGGAACCAACATTAATGCCGCCGAAGCTGTTCACTTGCTGCACATATTAGCATCCGAGTTTCCTCGTTTGTATATAGTTGTTGATGCCCTAGACGAGTGCGAGGAAACAAAGAAAACAAGGACGAATCTCATTCGGCAATTACAGAATTTGCCCTCAAATGCACATCTCCTCCTTACTTCACGTCGCCTAGGAGATATCGAAGAGAAGCTATCTGATCATCCGCACCTCGAGATTCGAGCTAGTGATGATGATGTTCGTGTGTATTTGGAGGCACGAATAGATATGGAGGAGAACATCTTAAAATTCTGCAAGAAAGACCCGACGATACGAAAAACAATCGTCGGAAAAATTGCCGAAAAAGCTCATGGAATGTCAGTCAAACCGAGACCCCCTGCTTCATGACACATGCTGATCTATCAACTAGGTTCCTCCTCGCCCATATGCACATGGAAGCTATAGCTTCAGAACTGAAGATCAGTCGTGTTAGAAAAGCATTGACAGTTCTACCAGAAATCATTTACAAAACTTATGACGATGCCATGAAAAGAATCATGGAGGGGCAAGAGACGAATCGCAAAATCTTGGCCATGAATATTTTGATGTGGCTCTCTTGTGCAAAAAAGCCTCTGACTGTGAGTGAGCTGCAGCATGCTGTGGCTATCATGGAACTCGGCCCTGATGAGAGCGAATTAGATGAAGATGATTTTTACGATCAAGATTTGCTTTTGACAGTCTGTGCTGGTCTCGTGGTGATCGACCCAGAGAGCGGTGTTATCCGTTTGTGTCATTTTACTCTCCAGGAATACTTTGAGCGCCATCGTGAAAAGTTTTTTCCTAATTCTGGTGTGTTGATTACTCAAGCTTGCATCAGATATTTGTCCTTGGACAACTTCATAGAGCCCGAAAGTCCAGATCGCGAGACAATCAAGACTCGACTCAAGGAGTATCCCTTATTATCATATGCGAGCCAATATCTCGGTGTACATGCTCAAGGTGCAGCGGAAATAGATCTCATGGATGATATCCTACATTTCCTCAATCAGAAAACACTCGTTAATAGCGCATCTGCTGCTATGATACCTTTCAGCATACGACATACGATCGAATTCCCTCCTCCAATTGTCGCTGCGGCTATGTTCGGTTTGCCAACAATCGTCGGCGAATTGCTTAAGAGAGGAGCAGATATTGAAGCAGTCTGCCCAAAGGACTTCACACCTTTATTGATTGCAGCGGAGTTAGGTCACTTCCCTGTAGTTCAACTCCTTATCAATTCCAAAGCAAACCTTTTTGCTAAAGATTATCGACAAGAAAATGCTCTCCACAAAGCTGCGCGAAAGGGAAATGTAGAGATTGTAAAGCAACTCGTTTCTGTCCAACCGTCTCTAATCGAAATTCCATATGAAGAGCATTTCAACAAAACAGCACTCCATATCGCCATTGATCGCCGGCACGAAGGAGTTATCAGAGCTTTGATAGAAGCTGGAGCCGATGTCAACGCATCAGATGAATTGAGTTTGACTCCATTAATGAAAGTGGTAGTAGATAATCTTCCAGATGCCATTGATCTGCTTATTGAAAAGGGAGCACATGTTGATGCGAAAGGTTTTCGCGAACATGCTGCCTTATCTATGGCAGCAAACGCAGGAAACATTGTGGCCGTTAAAAAGTTGCTAGCAGCAGGAGCTGAAGTTGATGCTGGCAAAGATACTTACTCTGGTACTGCATTGGTTCGTGCCGCCAGTTCAGGTCACAAGAATGATACCCTTGTTGCCAAGGAACTCATTCTGCATGGTGCGGATGTGAATGCGGTATGTAATGGAGAAACAGTACTCATGCATTCTGCTTTACATCCTTCTGTCATGAAGCTGTTAATAGAGGCCGGTGCTAATATCGAAGCAAAGGATGCTGAGGGCGAAACTGCGTTACATAAGGCTGCAAAGGTTGGCCGTGATGATAGTGTTCAAGCTCTCATTGAAGCGGGTGCTAATCTCCATGTGAAGACTTTCGAAGGAAACACAGCTTTATCTTTGGCTAGGCAATTAAGAAATAGAGGTCCGCATCCAGAAGTCATTGCTTTGTTGAAAGGGGCGATGAAAATGAATCCTCTTGGTACTGTTACTTAAGCGATGGATGAAATGGGGAGTAAAAAATTCAACCAACAATAATACCGCAGAGAATGCTCTCTGAAAACCAAGGATAAGAGAACAGACATCTTCCAATTTGGTCTGATCACGTAACCACGTAAACTATTCCAGGCATCGGTTCTTCTCCAACTACCTTCGAAACTCAGCTACAATTGGTATCCATTGTGACACCCCTTCATCTATCTCAGAAAAAGACAGGCCACAATTTCTGAAGTATATAGCAACAGATGGGGACCAAGGGACTTAAGTCTGAAATGAATGGGCGGCTCCAGTTGAACCAGGGCATTGTCATCGAAACAAGATATGTGACAAAACTTCTGAAGAGTCGTTGAATTCTTAAAGTCATGAGATCAAGTGCAAACAACTTTTGGTCGTTGAATTCCAACGATAGAAGGTCTAGTTCAACTGTGAACAGCAGATTAATTCTCATCTATGCCTCACAAATCTTCCATTGCTACTAGTCTAGTATCGCAATTCTCTTTTTTGAACAATCCATCTGTCTCAATCAAAATGTCTATCTGTATATGATTAAAAGAAAACCATCAAATCTTATGATAACAAGAGCTACATTCTTTATCATCCTACATACACCTTAGAGATATCTCCTCTGCAGTAAACAGTAAATAGTAAACAAATAAAAGAAAATAAGCTTACCCCCATTAGTCAGATTCTCCAAGCCAAAAATTCCATTCCTTTTTGTTGCACATCTACATTCGGCCCTTTTAGACTTTGGGCTGATTAAAAATATCCTGGAAAATGAAAATGAAAGTGAAAGTGAAAGTGAAAGTGAAAGTGAAAGTGAAAGTGAAAGTGAAAGTGAAAGTGAAAGTGAAAGTGAAAGTGAAAGTGAAAGTGAAAGTGAAAGTGAAAGTGAAAGTGAAAGTGAAAGTGAAAGTGAAAGTAATTGAAGGATTCTTTGTTGCGGTTGAAGGATCAACAAGATTGTTTTGTTGCATATCTATATTCGGGCCTTTTGTCACTTTGGGATACGGGATGGGCTGAAATTGATGTCTGGGGCACAGATTATTTCGTTTTGTTGCAGATCTGTATTCGGGCCTTTTGGGATTGGGAGTTTTGGTAAAGGGTGAAGGGGAGGTGAAGTTGAGGTCTGACTTCTGGACAGAGGAAGTTGATGTAATGATGTGGGATAAAACTTTCTGTTCTATGTTTATTAATGTTTGATATTTAAAAACCTCCTCTGTAACAAGAGATGAACTTTTCTTTGAAGAGATTGAAATTTTGGGGTGAACTTTGTAGGTGTTTGAGATGGATGTGAGAATTGTTTATTCGTGGTACCTTTCATGTGGTCTTTGATATCTACCAAAAGTTACGGTTTCCTGTCTTTAGGAATTTCTTTCATATCTTCTGTGATATGTAGAGGATATCTATAAGTACAAGGACCATAGTTTTTGGTTAGAGAAAACCACACAAGTTTCCTCTCTTACCACAATCACACAATCTACAAAATTCCACCTCTATCCCCAGCCAACAAATCCCAAATCCCTTCGATCTTCTGCACCACCTCCTCAGATAGGGGTCCAGCAGATATACTATGAACATTCTCTCTTATCTGAGAAATCTTGCTAGCACCCAGAATGATCCCATCCCCATCTCCCAATTTCGAATGATAATAAATCCATCTTAAGCTAGCTTCTCTTCCAGAAATACCTAACGGTACTAAAGTGTTCTCTAGATTCTTCATCGCTTGTTGCAATTTAGGAGCTCCGTAGAGGTTTGAAATGCTTTTCCGAGTGGATGGTTGTCGCTGAATCGAGTCCCGTCAGATTTTCCCGCGCTGTAGTTTCCGGTTAGGAAACCAGTTGCTAGAGCTCTGGTGTGATTTTGATTGGTAGTAGGTCAAATAGTGAGAAGATAAGCGACTTACCTGAATGCGAAGAAAGACATCGAATGGGCTCGGAGGATAGGGAGTAGTTCTTTCTCCATGCCCCGAGTTATGAGATTGTAATCTCCTTGATATACAGACGGTTTCACGAAGCCATTTTCCTCGCATACTTGGATGAAATCTTGGAGTAACTTAGGGGGAAAGTTGGAGACTCCGAGCTTTGTGTAATCAGTATCTGGAATTGGCGAATTCAAGCATGGTACGAGGAGCTCACTCTCTTGAAAGACCCATTTTTGAAATGATTGTTGAGGGCTTCTGCTTGCTCTTTCAACGGAGTTGTCGGATCAGGTTGATGACAATATAAGATATCGACCTTGTAGTAAAACAAATTAATACGGTCCAAAAACAGCAATCATAGCAGGGCAACACCTGATCAACGCCCAAACGCTTGAAACTTGTATCAAGCGACTTCCGTATAGCCGAAGCTTCGAGCTCTCCACTCCCATAACCAAGCTTTGTAGCAAGAATTTTTGTACTGATAGAAAAGCCTTGAGATGCAGCTCCTACTTCTCCAAGAAGCTCCTCGGATCTTCCATGATGTGTGGGTGGATATCTTCCTGCGGTATCGATCTGGGAAATATTCAACTCTTTCAAGATTTCGAGAGCATTTTGGACGGATTTTTTGGTGCTGAAATCCATTCCAATGGATGCAGCACCGAATATGAGAGAGGGATGGCTCATGATTTTGTGCTGTGGTGGATATATATCACTAGATGATGTCGGCGAGAAAGTCAAGTGTTTGATCGGAGAGAACGCGAGGAATTAATAGAAGACAAAGTGTAAATAATTAACAATGAATATCGAGAACAAAATGGAATTGTAAAAGTAAGAAAATACCGATAAACTCCTCGTGAAGCATTTCTAATATACTGACTCTCGGAGTCTTTCTTTGAAAACCGGTAGAATGTCAAACCGTCTCAAGAACCAACGATTGGTCAGCCCAACGGTTGGTCCAATTTTCATGTTGAAATCCCCGCCTCCTGTAATATTGCATGGAGTTTGCATTCCGGAATCATTGGTTCATCTGCATATTCGTAATGAATCATGATAAGAATAGTGTAGAGTATTCAGTGAGTCAACTGTGACTGTGGAAAGGGGAAGTGAATAAGGCAGTGGAGTGGATCACTCAGTCGCTGATTAGTCAGTGCTTATGTGTACACATATGTAACTCAACAGCAACATCATGAGTTCTCACCATATGCCACAATGCCTTTTCTTGTTTAGGATGACTTCGAATGTAATTCTTGGTATTTGTTCTTCTTCACGGAACTTTGAGTTGCACTATTCATGTTTCCCGACTCAAACTAATTCATTGTCTATTATTGTTCTGAAGATTGAGAATCCCGTTTGGATAAGCCAATTTCGAATGTGCATAACCTTATGCAAATTTTCGAGAGATCCTACAGCCATCCATGGCTTTGACATCTTCTGCCTTCGCTAAACACTAATATTAGGTACCTATTACACATTATTTGTTCTCCAAAATGGCAACAACTCCTCTCTGTAGTCCCGATCAGATAGACCACGAAACTCATAAATGCAGCAAGATTTGATTGCGCCATTTGACCTCGAAATGAATCGAAAATCACACGATCTCAGTTGGTCACACGTCAAGATAAACATCACTTCTTGATACAGCTCGACAGCCCTCCAGATCCTTATTCGAGACCCTGTGTTTTAGTAGTATATGTACCTCGCTACTCAATATCGAATCCTTCGCCGAGTCTTTGCCTGATTTGCAAATCTTCGAAGCTGATACGGTGAACTTTTGGTATTGTAACGTGGGTGAACTCTCCCTGTCTGGCAAGCCACTCTTCTTTGTTGTCAATACCTGCAGCTAGTCTTCTCCATTCCAGTTTCAAATCGTCTTCGGGAGTATTGGGGGTATCGTCCATGAATCTCCACCATAGCTTTTTGAGCTTCCAAAATTTTACCAATGACATTGCCCATTCTGGGTGACTGCTCAAAACCAGTTCTCCACCAAGAGCCAGAAACTTCACTTTCTTGGCCATTTCGTCGACACAAGTAGTGTCTAAGCTGATGTTATCTCTTCCTGCACTGTATTTGTTATCAAAGAGATCGTTCAAAAGCACATTGTAGTTCATAGTGTATCTATCTCCATCTTCGTATCCCCACTTGCTATTTGAGGCGATCATAATGCTACGGAGATGTCTACCGCTCAATTCTCCTGGCTTTTGCGTGAAGTATTTCCACGCACGATGGCTTTGAAAGTGGAGGGTGTCAATTTTGAAATCGATGCAAATTGTCAATTTTTTGCCCCGTCTCCAAAATTGATAGAATTCCAAAGCTACTTTTCTTGACAATGAACATGTGTGTAATAGAGCTGGAATGGTCTGAATAGCGACAGCCCGTTCGACTTCCAAGATCATGTGGTGATCTTTCGGATCATGGAGTCCCAGCTTTTCTCTAAAATGTTTATCCTCCCGCTTTTTCTCCCAGGCTTCCTGGGATAATTTTAGTTCCATAGCAATATCCCCGATTTCAGAATCATCCATCTGACTATATTTAACATCGACGGTGATGATCCGAGGACCTGGTAAAGCGTACCTGAAGATCCTTGCCGTAATTTCATGAGGAAGCTTCGAAAATGAGTCAGGTCTCCGCGCAGCGCCTTGCGCAAGACCTTGTGATAATTGAGTAGACATACTGATTCGTCAAATTTATTTGATGTAAATGAATCTGGGTAATAGTTGTGAGGATATGAGTCGACCTGAAAGTCTGAGAGTCCTAAGGTATGATCACAGTGAAGGGTGATCCCTTGACAAGCAAAATAATATTAGGGTCTAGTACAGGAGATTTCGAGCTCAAGGTTGAAACTTACAATACTTTTGACACGTTGCAGGAATTTGGAAATTATGATACAGTTGTGGTGTAGCTGTTCGAACCTGTATCTGGATTGATATGTCTTGATGTCGCTTAGAGTCTCAGAATGTAAAGAATGTTGCAAGGATTGCAAGGATCTCGAAAACTTTGCCGAATTCTGAGCTGAGATTCTGGGGTATGTTTGGTTAAAGAATATGAATTGCGAGAATAAAATAAATTGTGTGGGGGAGCTAAGTTTTAGTATACCTCCACCAACCCTCTCTAGCGCTGGTAGAAGCAAACATCGCAGTGACGTAAGCGAGGTAGATTTCTATAATGACACGTATTATATTGATCACGAGGTTCTTTCCAATTCATGACTGGAACAAGATAGAAGGTCAAACTGGCATAGACTACCTTCTCATTGGAAAGTAAGATCAAACAGTAAGATGGCCTCGTTTAGTGAGGTTGATAAGTGAGTATGTGTGTTGAGAACCGGAATCTTCTCGATGTCTTCTGGAGCGGCTCCATCGCTCCGTCGACCATGATGAAGGTAAGTTCAGAATTCAATCTTGCCTCAGAGGACATCTTTCTACAAGACACAGATGAAGCATAATGCGTATGTCGAGGTTCGACAACGTGATCAAGCTCAGTAGATCTAGAATATGCGAATGAGGGTTGAAAAAATGTGACTACTTCCTCTAAAAATGGTCAAATACATTACAAGTATACCACCCATCACGAATCAAAACTGGAAGTGTACGTCTAGCCTCGAATATCTGAGTTCTGCATTCGTTTCGACCGAAAACATCACATCACTTCTTCTGTTCAGTTCGAACATCCAATGCCCAAGTATTCTACTACTTCTGTGGGAACTCTGGGTGTCAAACCAGTGGTTGAGTTTTCGATTAGAGACTTGCAAGATTTCTTCAAAACTTCGAGGTCAAATTTTGTTTCGTCACTTGGGGACATAAAGTGTTGATTTGGAAGAATCCAACTCTAAGCGAAAGTCATCCATATGCACATACCATATACAAACATACTACGATATCCGCATCATTTTGCGTTGGAAAGGGCAAGAAAGAAGCTGGGGGACAAAACAACACAAGCTCTATGTTGACGACCTGTTCCGCTGCTAGTGTGAAGTGTTAGACATATACCAGGCGTGTCTCAGCGGAGAGTGTATGCGGAGATATCACGTATTCTTTCAAGGTCGGAAACTTAACAAGCAGTAAGCCATGAAACTCATATATTTGAAGGGTTGACGACTTATTGACAATGCAAAGGACCAAAATCACTGAGTTGCTGATGTAGAATGCATAGGGGATGCGTGTATTCTTTACGATTTGGCGTTCTTGTTGGTCACAAATCTCTTTTGATGTTCTTTTTAGAGGCAAAGTCTCTTGGATACACTTTCTTCATTTTTAATCTATACGGTCAATGCTAATTTTTTGATCACAAATCCTTGTTGAGCCTTCCCACGGTAGTAGACCAACCCGATACAATATTGATCTCTTCAATAGATCTCACGATCATCAATCAATCCCAATGCTTACCAGCCAAGCTGAATCTGAGGATCCCACTCTCCAAACCTCTCAATGAATTCCTTCTTCGACAAAAATTCTATCTCATGAAACGCCTTCTTTTTCAAGTATCTCATAATATCCTCTTTGAACTTCCAGCGGTCTTCCACCCATTTAGGTCTTCTTGAATGTATCGTATCCGAGACCAAATGACTATCCATTCCCAACACCAAAGTATCAAGCTGATTAAAGCCCCAGTCCATGTATTCAAGTGCCTTTATTCGTAGTTTTTGCATTCTTTGGGTCTGTTTGACTGCGAATTTTTCGGCATTGATTCTCTCGGATAGTCCAAAGGATTCGGTTCCAACTGCAACGTTTTTAATGTAGTCATCTAGACGTTCTCTCGGATTCATGTCTTGACATTTTACACAAGGATTTGGACGATGCCAGCCCCGATTCATATGCATGCAAATGACGCATCGAAGAAGCAACGGGATATCTTCCTCATCGTCAGGAATTATGACGCGACGGTTTGCTTTCATCGCAAGTCTGATGGATGTCTCCTTCGTCTGCATAAATGCGAATTGTACACAGAAAGTATTGAAGGTAAACCAATCCGAAAAATGAAGTATATCCAGGTCCTCGCGAAAATAAACCGGCTTCTCGGTTTCGAGAATAGACATTAGGAAATGACTCTTTGAATAGAGTTCTTGACCAATGTATCGTGCTTCTTTGTTGACGTATAGGGAAGCGGGAATCTTGTACGAAGGTGCAGGTTGTGCTGTCCATGGGAATTTAACATTCTTTTGAAAGGAACGAGTGTTTTGTTCGTCGGTGAGCTCCATGCGATGTAACAATTCCATAACGTAGTTACAGCGTGAATTCTTTTTGGCATTCTCGCCGGTATATTTTGCAATGATGGTGAGCGTGCGTGGTTCTCCAAAGTCTTCTTCATCTTCTGCGTGATATTTCCATATCATACAGCGAACTTCTGCTGGAAAATCGCGGAATCGATGGAAAGTTCCAGGCTGAGGAGATAGTTGTGCTATGTTCTGTGCATAGTCTACGTTTGTAGAAGCCACGGCCGCTGTTATTGCAGGTCAGTTGGATGTCATTGCGAAAGAGAGAAAAGGGCGAAACACGTACGTGTGATGGTCAAGCTTTGCAAACAATCTGTTGCAGGAGATGTGTCATACAGACCATTATGCGGTCCACTTGATTCACATACACGTTCTGCGCCCTCGGTATCTGCAGATTGATCCATTCCCATAGAAACCTCATTGTCCATCTCAACTGTGCTGGTCGCATTTGCGCCCTCACCAACCCCATCTATACCACTTCCATCGATATCCATATTGTCCATACCTTCTGTCGTATCAGTACAAAGACTTGTGCTGGCCATTTCTGTCGAGTATTTGCCCGTTCAATGCAATGTCGGTTGAGCTTGGGGAAAGAATTATTTTGTGTAGTGAAACTATGGATTTTGTGGGAGAAACCAAGTGACTGATAATTTAAAAGCAAAATAAGACAAGTTCCTGTAGTGAATTACTTCTATTATTGGGAATCATGTGATTATCCGAAATATGTTGTCTGATGTGACAAGTATATTAAATGGGGATTCAGTAACGACAGAAAGAAGTAGAGATGTATCAGATAATAAGCAACGTGAAAGTACAGATGTAGAACCACCACACCCTACAGTGTGATAAATGCAGCCCTTTCAACACCTGTTTTCTGGTTGGGCAATGTAAGACTTGTCTTTTGAAACTCATAATTGTGTCGAAAATATGGAAATTTAACTACAACGTTGTTCCCAAAGGATAATAACTGGGTGTCAACTGCACACCCTTGTTACTGACCAGCAGTAACCCCACAACGGAAAACCACCCCAAATAGATTACCAAACAAGCCGCGCACCATTCTCCTAACCACCAGACCTCCCGATACCATATCCATATGAATGTAATCAGTCACCATTACACCTATTTTCATGCGGGCTATAGTGCGCCCCTAGACCCCAGCAGAGATGTATAAAGTCTTGCCAGCGGCTTCTCGAAACGAGTGATCCAGATTTTCCATCGGTGGACAAACACTCATCAGCATCGGACGTATTTACAGCGTCAGAAAAACTTCCACACGAACCTCTAGACTGAGGCGTATTGCCATTGCGCCGAATTTTGAGATCTGTAGCATGGATCGTTAGTATTGGCGATGCCAAGACCAGTACTGGGCATACGGACCTGATTTTGTAACATGATGTTGTTCACTCGAGTCTGTGGATGATTCATGTGGGTCGATATATGTTGATTCACCTTTATCTGCATTTTCCCTACCCAAAGCGGCAAACTTCGGAAGATGTCCCGAGCACTCAAATTCGGCATGCTGTCCATTTAAGCGTCTGATAAGGTCTGCAAATTTTTTGATCAAAACTTCAGCTACATGGTAGGAATTTTTGTGTTCAATGCTGGTGGCTACAGCAGAAATATCTCTAGGATGTGCTCGTCGCCTATCGATTGGGCTTGGACTCCAATGTGGATCAGAACTCAGACCAGGACCTGTTTCCCAGGACTTTGCTTGTACATTGCTTGACATGATGCCAATACCGATCAGAGCTGGTGTATAGATACCTAGAGCCGGAAGGGTGGCTAGAAGAGCGATAGTTTGGATTGTTGGGAGAAGAGGTAATGTCGATATAATGGAGGATTGCTTGAGGCGAGTAGTTGGAAGGACTTCGACATGAGATTCCATGAAAGTATGTGCAACAGATAGGCCGAGGCCCATGAGGGACAACGAGAGTGGAAGGATGAACTTCATGTTGAAGGGTGCTTGGTACACTGCAGTGGTAGAGCTTTTATTTATCTGTTATTTGATGATTTGTGTTGCCGGAGATGTTTTGACTGAAGATTGAAAGTAAGAAAAGAATGAAGAAAGTGTCCTCGAAATAGCTCAACAAAGAGATCCCCAAAAGATTTCCATACGAATGAAAATGATTCCGAATCCCATAATTTCTTTATGATTCTTAATGCCTAATGACTGCTGGTCCGTTGCTTACAGCGGTTTGTTTTGAATCATAATTCAAATGGGATTTATGAATCATAAGGTTACTTTCTTACAGAAAAGATTTCGTAGATGTGGCTGTGTTTCAATAAATCAAATATAAAAGTGTCCCGAGTCATAACATGAGCGAACTCGAAAATTTATGTCTTATCATGCACTGGATTCCATTCGTAGAACGAGAATCATCCATGGTTCCGTGTAAAAAGGTCGAATGTCTTCCCAAGCTTCAGGGACTTGATTACTGCCCCTATGTATTTTTCGATGAGGTGTTCACTGCAAGATCCCGGTCAAGGACACGCTTGTTTTTGGGCGATTCTCTGGTAATGCTAATGTACATTGAAATACCAAGACCAAGTCAATCTTGAGCAACGATCGTGGGTAATGAGAGGTCGTGCGAGAGAGCTGAGTGGCGAGTAATTTGTCCATGATTTTTTTGAGGTGTATAATCATGGTACATGTAATTGAGACGACAATGTTGCTTCGATTGCGCTTCCTCTTTCTCGAGCGGATACTTGATAACTCCAAACTTCAAGTGGTATCAGTGACCATAGCTCCTACTGGTTCTGGTCTTGTTGAAAATAAAATCTTCCATTTCACGATTTCAACGATTTCCAATTCATCCCCAACTTCTGACTCGGAACCTTGCATTAAGACATCACCATTCGTCTGTGATGATATCTCACGATCCCTCTTCCTAATAACAGCGTAAGCCCTTGGAAGCTTTTTGACCTCTCCCGTGAGTCTTTGGTGCTTGCCCACGTAGAGATAGACACGCTTCATCCACTTAGCATTGTCTGGATTTGCTGGGTCATATTCGGGGAAGATCAGGCGACCAATCGGAGTCTGGAAACTTTGTTCTGAAGAATTGGAAATGTTCATGGGGTCATCATCCTCAATGTCCGGTTCTGGAAGATTTATCGTTCCTTGAAGCTCTAGCAGTGCGAGTCCAGATGGGGTTTGAAGAAGCTTCGGTAGTGGATTTTGTATGGTTTCAATTGGTTGATCGACACTCGTGTGAAGGGGAATCATGATTGAGACTTTAGAGATGATAATTTGTGCCCGACAAAAGATTCAATCACAATTCATCATTCGCGCGACGCAAAGTCACCACCACAATTGTTAGATCTCAAGAAATTATCGAGCATGTTTGTAGGGGTCTGGCAGAATGTTTGACCGACCCGATGCTGCATATCACATGATCTCGGTTGTTGATCCACATTGAAATTTCGCGCTAAGGATACTAGCGTCTCGCACTGAGAATTTCGAACTTTCCAAAATTTCGAAGACTTCATTCCTCTCAGCGACAAATCACCGACGACAACCTCGACCACTTGACCACTTACCACCGTCAAGATGAAGTTGGTGTGTATTCCATTATTCCGTTGTGCTGGAATTGATTGATTGAGTATCTGCTAACAAACTTTGATTGATAGAACATTTCATTCGTACGTTTCGAACCCATTTAAATGAACTCGATCGAAGAATTCGAACTGACAATATTCAACAGCCTGCCAATGGCAGTCAAAAGCTCATCGATATCGAAGACGAGCGCAAGCTCCGTGTCTTCATGGACAAGAGGTATATTTTTTCCGCGACACCGAATACAACGAAAAAATCTAATTTTTGCTCGACAGAATGGGCGCTGAGGTTCCAGGAGACTCCGTCGGAGACGAGTTCAAGGGATACATCTTCAAGATTACCGGTGGTAACGACAAGCAAGGTTTCCCAATGAAGCAAGGTGTTATGCACCCAACCCGTGTCAGACTTCTCCTTTCTGAGGGTCACTCTTGCTACCGCCCACGCCGAACTGGTGAGCGCAAGCGTAAATCCGTCCGTGGATGCATCGTCGCCATGGACTTGTCCGTTCTCGCTTTGAGCATTGTCAAGCAAGGAGAGAGCGACATCCCAGGTGTCACCGACGTTGTCCACCCAAAGAGATTGGGCCCCAAGCGTGCCACCAAGATTAGAAAGTTCTTTGGGCTCACCAAGGAGGATGATGTACGTTTTCCCTACATCATTCCGCCCATCACTCTCAACCGCTTCGTGCTGGTGCTTGAGGATGGAGTGTGAGAAGTAAATCCAAAGCGTAATGCTGATATATCTGGGTTAGGTCCGTAAATTCGTTATCCGTCGTGAGGTTCAGCCAAAGGGTGAGGGCAAGAAGGTCTACACCAAGGCACCAAAGATCCAACGTTTGGTCACCCCTCAACGTCTCCAACACAAGCGTCATAGACTCGCACTCAAGCGCCGTAACGCTGAGCGCACCAAGGATGCTGCCGTGAGTCAAGCCGTCCTGCTTCTGAAATTACCTATCTAACATATTTTCCAGAACGAGTACGCCGCTATCCTTGCCAAGCGTGTCTCTGAGGCCAAGAACGCCAAGGTTGATGCCCGCAAGCGCAGAGCTTCTTCTATGCGTAAGTAGAGGGTTTTCACGATGGGTAATAAAATGGCAGTCTTTGTGGATGTTTGGCGAGTGGAATGAATTCTCAGCCGGGTTCAACAGGTCAAAAAAGCATTATACCAGGATGCTAGATACCAATTTAAAATGGACTGCATATTACTACTTAGGACGGCGTTTCCGGAATGCAAATGATGTGCTATTAATATGTTTTGATGTTCCCATATATTGTCAAATACAGTGGATGGTTGTTCCTACCGAAATCTTGCCCTTCAGCTTCTCCTTTTTGACCTTCCCCCCTTTCCTGACTCGCTTTACTTTACACACCCTAGTTCTACTCTATGCCATTCTTTAAACCTTCAATCCTTTTACTATTGCCCACCCTTTCCTTATCGATATCATGCGAAACTCTTACCCGGTTGATACTATTTAAGATGAATGCTAGGCCAGAACCTAGGAAATTGTCGAACTAGATTGGTCTTGAATCCACGCATTTTCCATCCAAAATCTTTTACCAATACAATAATACAAGAATTATAACACCTCCAAATGGAATATCTATCCGAAAGAGAACGAATGAGTGATCTCATTATGCCTTCATTTCAAAACTCCATAGTAATTTTGATAAGGTTGCTCGCTTGTGACTTTATTTATAAAAAAATAATATCGAGTAGAATCAAACACGTAAGTAGTACAGATGATCTAGATGTCGTCTCTCTTCTCTTCTCTTCTCTTCTATTGAGGCATATAAGTATCTATCTAGTAGTCACACACACTCACACACACACACATACACAACAAGAAACCGATGTTGATACATTTTCATTTTTTCTGATTCCCGCGCACCTATGTATATATGGAAAAGACCCTATGTAACATATTTAAACGTACCTATGTAAGTGAGTAAGGTCTCTACGACCCACGGATATTGCATTACGAAAAGAAGAAAGAGAATACCATCTTCTGCAATCCGCACTGCTGTTTTTTCCTTTCCTAGTAAATTTCTATCTACATGCCTGCCCACAAACCCCGAGTGAAACCCAAGAAACCATTTTTGATCCATCTTCCAGTGTCTTTGCAACCACATCTTGTAGCTCCTTAATCCATAGGTGCGTGAGTGAACAAAAAGCTCACACTCTCTCCATTATGCGTCCTCCTGATCGCCTCGGCCAACGTCGCACTAATATCCATAACTCTCAATCTTCCACAAGTCTCTTCCTTTCCTCTTAGAGGGACTGTATTTGTAACAACGACTCTGCTCAATTTACTCTTGTTTAATGTTTCGATTGCTGCTCCGCTTAGGATTCCATGAGTTACGATAGCGACGACTTCCTTGGCGCCGTGTTCCATGACGGTTTCGGCGGCTTTGACAAGGGTGCCGCAGGTATCGGCCATGTCGTCTACGAGAATGGCAATTTTGTCTACGACGTCACCGACAAGGACCATGCGGGATACTTCGTTAGGACGAGCGCGCTCTTTGTGAATAAGGGCAAAGCCGAGGTCAAGACGGTCGGCGATGGAGGTTGCTCTGAGAATTTCGTTAGTTATTTTGGTCCTTGTTTAAAAAGACTTGCTCCGTCTTGTCCAGATCCTGCACCTCGCAGATATACTGGTTCCCTTTCGTAGAATATGAAAAGAAATAGCTCACCTCTTAGCACCACCGGCATCCGGACTAACAACCACACACTTGCTAACCTCCAAGTTCTCTCTGATCCATCTCAAAGTACTTGGTTCCGCATACAAATTATCGACTGGGACATTAAAGAACCCTTGGATTTGACTTGCATGTAGATCCATTGTAATAACATGATTACAGCCAGCCGTTTGCAACATGTTTGCAATAAGTTTCGCAGAAATGGGAGCGCGGGATTTATCTTTCTTATCTTGACGTGCGTAGGGGAAGTTAGGGATGACAGCTGTAATGCGACGTGCGGAGGCGGTTTTGCAAGCATTGATCATGATGAGAAGTTCCATGAGTCCATCATTGATATCGCCAGGTGCGGTGGATTGGAGGATGAAAACTAGAGAGTAAAATTTAGAAATTTGACTTCGAGTATGCGATGGGATGAGGGACCAGGAGAACTAACCATCTTCATCTCTGACACTCTCTCCTACTGTGACGCTGGTCTCTTGATTTGAGTAGTTCAAGCTCATAGTCTTTGCAAGCTCAATGCCCAATCTGCGCAATGGATTTCGTTAGCACCTTCTTTCACATCTCCATCCTTAAGATTGGCACTCTAATAGCTCATATCCCGTCAATATTTCAAAACCCCCCATTCACAGATCCAAGCACTCGTCATCCCACCATCCCGAAGCAGATATATCTCATCTCATCCCACCAAAACAACCCAATCATCCCCAATAACGCAAGCAAGAAATGAAAACAACTCACCTATCAGCAACCAACTTCGCCAACTGAGGATGGCTGTTACCCGTGAGCAACTTAATTGAATTTGTTGCCATTTTATCTCCTTTTCTTCTCCTTTTCTTCTCTGTTTCTTTTTATTCCTTCTATATTTCCTTCGTATCGTTGCCTAACTCGCAGTCGCAGATATAGACAAGCCTCCTCTCAGATGCGCAATCGTAGTTGTAGTCGCAAATGCAGTCTCTAGACTAGGTAGCGCACGTTTCCTTTCGCTTCGTCCTATTCGTTGTCCGTTCGTTCGCAGATTCCGTGTAGGGTTTACAGTTTTCCTGTACCTGCACAATAATCTCCAATGCAACTAATTTTCCTCGAGTGTATGTTTGTTCTGAATGGATCAGAATCAATTTTCAACGTCCTATTGGATCCCTCCTTCTAATATGCGCAAGTTCGTCCTGTCGGTCGTATACAGAAATTCAATCAGTTCTTATGATTGAGAATATTCTTGACGTTACTTTATGTTGCGTCGTAGTCAAATGTCTGAAGTATGAAATATGAGGAAAAAGGAAGCCGTTGAGTAAGAAATGAATGAACCCTTTGACATTGACATTTGAGAGAAATAATTTTTGCGGGGTTTCGAAAAAGATAACGTCCGTGCCGAATGATCGGCTTTTTCCGTTTTCTAGCCCTGTGGTAACCAACCACGGCCAATCAAAACTTCATCACATCATATTATGAGAGATTATGTACAAGTGTGGTATGGTAGAGGGGTTTTCGTTATACTAGGTCATCACGTTATCTTATTTTCACATTTCCAAACCAAATACAGTCAACGTCTTTCGAATTCATCAATCTATGATAATTCTGTATGCTAACTAACTAAAAGCTATCTACTTTTTACATCTGCCATTTTTCCCTTTTGGAATTTTTTTGTCTCTGGTGGGTCATCTATCTAATCCTCCTTCCCTGGGAAATCATCTTTTAAACGACCTGCACTTCGCTTTGAAAGAATCCTTACCCGAAGATCTCAAACCAAATATAACCATCCATCCTCATCCATCACCTTATCTGTCTACCTGATATCGCATAGTTTCATATCCTCCGACCCATAAAAAAGCAAACCTATCCTCCGTAGAACCATCGCTCTGGTTATTAGAAGACCGCCTTGTCCTCATAAATATCGTCAAAAAAAAAGAAAGCTTGACGCCGCCAAATGCTGATCAAAAGCCTGCCATGCATGATATCATAATTAGGAAAAAGATGTTTGACCTTGCAATTGATGTTTATGCAAAACCGAAATATTCACTGCCTGCTGTAATGGCAGTAAGAACTTGAGCGCGAAGGGTCTCATAACTTTCATATTCTGGAAGATCGAGTTCTAGAAGTTGGGTTAGCATATGATTAGATGTATGATTTAGGCAGTGTAACTTACGATTGAAACAAGTATGAGAAGATGGAAGTCGTTCTTTGTTGCCATAGTCTCGGTGGATATTGAATCGACTGAAACCATTCATACCCTCAAGCTCCTTGAAACCGTTAAGGGGTACTTTACTGGTTCCCGTGACGAATTGCAACAACTTGGCTCGCTCTTCTTTGTCAAATGAGCGAATGGCACGCCAGAACCACTGAATTTGTGGAGAAGATGCCGAATAATTGTGGTATTCAGTGTTACTCTTCCAGTCATCAACATCAATTTCAGGCAGTCCAGAGATTAGCAACTCTAATTCCTGCTCATTGAAAATCGAGACCAGTTCAGCAGGGATGATATCATGGAAGCCCTTCAAGAATTCATCAAGCTGTGCTTTGACAGATCCTGTGAGTTTCCATTCGACCATCAATCGAACATACTCGTGCTTGTTCTCCTCCGTCACTGGAACATTGCGCCCATCTTCAATAAAGTCAATGGTCTCGACAACGCCAAATTTGTCGTTATCAACGGAGAAGGTTTCGGTAATGATATCCGTGATATCATTCTCAAGCATCCATATGAGTGACTTATAATAGTCAGGATCCAAAGATTCCATGTCCTTGACTGAAACAGCCTTGCCTAAGATGCGCTTGTAAACTGCTCTACTGAAATGGCAATCGAGAACACGACCTTCATATAGTGCCTTTCCGATGATACGACCGATGAATTTGAAGAACATTAGATGCTCCTCGTTGATACTACTCAATTGATTTGGATGGAAAGTAGTACGATCAGAAGACACGGGGATGAAAAGAGCATAGCCAGGGTCGAACATTTGCCTAGAGAGAACTTGGAACCATTCGCGAGTAACTCCGCCTGCATCTACACCCTCTTCTCCGTGGAAACGAATGCTTAATTTTCCATACTTCATTTGATCAGGAGTCTGGAAGTAGAGAGATTTGAAAGAGTCGTGGAATACCTGCTCTCGACGAACAGACAATTGTAATGGAGGAACTGCACGAGAACCCTGGCTTCGGCTGTGAATGCTGCGGCTGAAGTAGTTGCGCTTATTATCAAACTCGAGAACCTTAGGATTCTTTACCAATAAAGAGAATGTACCAGACATGAGCTTTGGAGTATGTCGGACTAGGTCATTCAGAATCTTTCGATGCTCTTCGGTGAACGTGAAGAACAAGTTCTCCATTCGAGACTCTGGAACGGGACTAGCAAGAACCATTTCCTTATTCTTTGCACTTCGATTAAGTGGTGTGTCCTTCAATGTAGTGTTCTTGCAAACGACCATGAGGGATTCGATCAAAGGTAAAAGAATAGTGGCGACACTAAGCATATGATCTTGTTGCCTAATTGTACTGAGACAGGCACTTAACTTCTCCCACATTGGGCCAAAGGTGGAGTTCTCGTAGAGGCTAGACACGAGATCTTGCTTTTCGACAATCTCAGAGGAAACCTCTGCTTCACTGGCTACATCATCCTTCTTTTCACGCTTAGGATCAAACAAATGATCTAGCGCAGTGAGAACACGTAGAAGTTTGTGCTGGTCGGATGCCGGTGGTGAGAACTTGGCTAACGCGACACCCTGAATCTCAGTTCCAGTTCTAGCTTTTTGGATCTGAGGAAGAAGGTCCTCGAGATCTATTAATATGACTTCACCCAATGCTCGAGCCTTGGCGATGAGTTCTTTTCCGAAAATGGCCTTCGCGCCAGGAATGGTGGAAAGATTCTTGATGGTTGATAATGTCTCGCGGAAGGTCTTTGAGTTGCACTCACAGCAGAAGATATTGGTAACCAGGCGAAGATTGTGTTCTGGAACAACAGGAGGAGTGAAAACATGAACCTTCTTCTGTTCTTGCTTAGAAGTATCCTCGGGCTTCGAAGAGTCGGTATCTGGAACGACGGAGGCCTCACCGGCATCAGCGCTTGTAGGAATAACAAGTGCCGGAAGTACTGGAGCAGATGTCGACCCAGCGGAAGTGTTTTCTACAGGAGCAGTCTCATCTGATACCACCGGTGGTTGTTCAGTGGACTCACTCTCACCTACGGTAACGTTGTCAGGATTGGGTGCATCGGTGGAACCAGTGGCTTCAGCCATCTCGGCTGTCTCGGCTGCAGTTGCGCTCGCCTTGGCCTTTTCTGCTTCTTCGATAGCTTCTTTTTGCTTTCGTTCTAGCGCAATGAGAGGGCTAGTGATAAGATTAAGTAAGAGCGAAAGTTGTTCCATGATGGTTGCGCTCTCCATGATCAAATCACGATCTAGAAGACTGAGCAGAGAGTTAAGAGCGTATCTTGGGGCTTTGCTATCCTTTCCTTTTCCCTTCCGACTGAGACTTCGCTTCAGTCCACCAGATGGCTCGTGCTCGGTCAAGAAGAACGATGCGACATGCAAATTAGTTTGAGCAAGGTAGACCAAAGCTGTCAGACATTGTTGGACTACCATGAGTGGCGATGCCTCAGAATTTGTCTGGGCGAGCGAGCCGAGACCAGTAAGTGTTCGTCGAAGAGTTTGTGTAGGGGTCTTTGGATCCTTTTCTCTTGGTTGCTTGGCTCTGACGGACAGATAGGAAAAGCTTCGCTCGATTGCGGTCATGTCGGCACTACCATCCTGAAGGATATGAAGAAGGGTGCTAATGAGCTCGGCACGGTTGTGCTTGTTCAATGCTACATTTTGCAGAACTGAGTTGAGTGTGCTTCGGAAACTGCTGTGTTGGAAAATAAACATCAGCCGCAAAAGTGTTGCTACCCCTTGTTTGTCCAACATTTGAACGATTGCCCGACGAGCTCTTGGTTGCTGAGGAGCCCCTCGACTTTCTTCACCAGGAGCTGGACGGCGAATGACGCCTACAGGTGCTCTTCCAGGGTGGCCAGCATGATCTGGCTGACCTCTGCGTAATTGACGTGCTTGGGCAGCGAGGTCGGGAGGCAAGGATGCCATGAAATCTTCATCACCTTCCATCAGAACTTCTTGTCTAAGAGCTGGTGGGAAGGTTGCAAGGATGCTTGGAAGATCCATGTCTCCATTTGGTGGAGCTCCGCCTGCTGCTGCTGCAGCCTCTCGTCGTTCATTACGTTCACGACGTCGGCGTTCTTGTGCTTCCTGCTGCATGATTTCCTCTCGAATATCATCTGGGAGGGCATCAAGGAATTCCTGTTCAATGTCGGTTGGCTGTGAACCTGTCGCAGTGGCTTGTTGACGTCGCTCGGCAACGGCAGCCATGATGACTTCCTCGCGAATATCCTCTGGGAGCTCTGCAAGGAACTCTGCGTCGATGCCCAGGTCTGTGATATCATATGGCGTGTTTCGAATCATAGTCATAACTCTAGGACGATCAGCAGCTGGAACCTCTGTTTCTTGTGCTTCTGCATTGGTAGCTCCCGGAATTTCACTCTGGACACCCTCCATGGCATCGGTTGCGTTGGCATTACCCGCCTCGACAGGCTCTTCAATGGATTCATCGGCCTGGGCACTTTGAGCAGCCGCCATCTCAGCTGCAGCTCTTTCAGCTGCCTCTTTCTCTTCGGCCTCTTTCTTCTCTCTGGCTGCCTTCTCCTCTGCCTCCTTGGCTTCCCTAGCCAGCTTTTCTGCTTCTAATCGCTTCTTCTTTTCTTCTTCCAGTACGCGGATTCGTTCCAGTTCGGCTGCTTTGCGAACTTTGTCAGCTTCAATGGCAGGAGGTACGAGCGCTGCCATGAGTTCATTCTTGAGCTCTTGAGCGTTCTCAACATTGCTTGGTCCGAAGAGTAGCTTAGACTCTTCTGACCATCTTGCAGCTGTACATTGAGTAGAGAAAGATGTAGCGCTTCCAGGCTCGCTGGTATCACGGTGATTGTCATTACGAGGACGACGTGTTCCAAACATCGCTTCGAGTTCTCTTGGCAACTGACCAGGACCAGCGGTAATATGAAACTGTAAAGCTTGTCCATTACGAGCGATTGATCCTGGGATACGTAAGGATCTGATCATGTCAAGGATTTGTTCAGGGCTATCACCGAAAGCACGTCCGCCAAGAACGCTACTCATGTCTATCAAGCTGCCGCCGGGTCCCGGTGCTTGAATCCAGCTGCCGATTTGAGGTCCTCGATGGCCAGGTCTGCTTAAAGCGCTTGGGCCATTACGTTGAAGTAGAGGGTTTGTGCCGTCATCCATGGAATATGGGGGTGGAGCGCCGGATCTATGTGCTCGGTAACGGAAATCTGGTACTACAATTCTATCAGTCCTATTCTGTCTTTGAAGGCCATCCTCGATTGCCGCTAGGTCCGAGACGGCTTGTCTTTCTGCGAGAAAACTGCTCATAAGTTCTGATTCTAAGAGTTGTAACCTACCACCAAGTGGATCGCGCGAACCTCCAGGAAGGAATGGGAAAGGACTGGGGAATGCATGGCGATGTCGGCCTTGATGTCCACGGTGGCTGATGACCATTGGAGGCTCAACATCTCCTTCCCAACCAAAGATAGGACCAGGGCCGTCCGCTTGATTTATTAGTCGGACCGTAGAACTTGGTCTGATATTAGACTGACCTGGGTATGCCTGCTCAAAGAGCATCTCTTCATCCATATCATCCTCGTCGTCTTCATCTTTTGTAACAAGTTAGTAAATCTTCATAGACAGATCTCTTAAAGCAGACGAATCGATTTCGAAGCTTACCTTCTTCTTCGATTTCTTCCATGTATTCACCCAAAGGTTCTTCCTCATCATCTTCCGGATCACCAACGCCTTCTTCTTCCAGACGTTGAAGCATTTCAACGGCATCTTCTTCATCACCAGCGCCGGCAAGCACACGAACAAGGTTCCCAATGGGGCCCATGTCACCCATGGAATGGGAATGAACTCGTGCAGCTTCGTTGTCTCCTCCTGGTCCTTCGTAGCCTTCTTCGAAATCTTCCTCGTCGTCTTCCTGCATGTCCTCATCGTTTTCGCTTTCCCAGTCATCGATATCTTCGTCTTCGGCAAGCTCTTGGACATTTCCGGCTTCATCGAGAATTTCGATACGAGCGTCATCTTCCTCCATACCGTCAGAACCATGCTCGTCATCATCATCGTCATCTTCGCTATCGTCGTCATCGTCATCGTCGTCATCATCATCTTCATCTTCGTCTTCCATGATGACTTCGACGTCAACACCATGATCGCCAGAAAGACCTTCGATAGGACCCATGCCATCTTCATCATCATCTTCGTCGCTGACATTTTCCTCATCGTCTTGCTCCATTTCCTCTTCATACTCCATACCATCATCGTATTCACCTTCGTACATGTCCTCGTCATCTATAAGAATTAGCCTTTGTACATCAAGTATGATAATTTTTTGCACTTACCATCTTCGGAATCAGATGATGTATCGCCCTCTTCCCCTTGCTCAAACATACCCAAAGTCGAGTTTCGGAATAGATCAGGTGTCTCTTCTCGGTCGTCTTCGAGATCTGACACTGAAGTGGCAGACTCAATGTCATCGTCGTCAGCTTGTCCTGGGGGTGAAGATATAAGTGCGTTTTCACTAAGGTAGATAGCATGATGAGTGAGCTGCTTCAGGGGCCGCAGGATATATTTGACAGCTCGCTTTGCGCCAGGGAAGTTGAGATCAATGTCTGCTACCGAGGCAGTCAAGGCTGCAATGTATCCCTTTTCATACATAATACGCTTGAGTTGCATCTGGGATCTCTTGCTGACAGAAGTATCTGCAGTTCCTAAATTCTCCTTTCCAGTCATTATATGCATCATGAGATCGGCAAGTGAGAGCATCCTGGCATATTTAATTTCAAGAGGCTCGGTAGAAGCGCTTGCGTCTTTGTAAGCCTTGAGAATATTCTCTAGGACAAAACGTCGTACGAACAAGAGATCGGGCTCATCTTCTCCATCACTTTGCTCTCGGAGCTTATCAAGGATTTGTTCTCCAGTCTTGTTCAACAGAGCAGTGATAACAGAGTCGGCCCAGTGCGATGTGGTTAGCTTCTTACGAATTGTGGTGGTTTCTGGGTAATCCAGTGTTCCAATGGGCAAAAGATCAGAAAGAAGATAGTGAAGCACACTAGATCGAGGCCTTGAAGGCGTCATTGCCTGAGGAGGAGCGCTACGCTTGAAATTAATGAACTCAATCTTAGTTCTATTGTAAGCAGCCAAAAGTTCTGTGAGGCATTGCAGCAGGAAGCATCTGTAAATGTAGATGGGATGCTCCTCGCCTTTGAATTCCTGTTTTGTGGAATCCTGGGTAGATTGCCCATCTTTGGGTACAGGTGAGTCAGGTACGGATGGTGCACCAACCATGGCGACGTCTCCATGTTCAGGCGAAGTAGACTTGTCTGCATGGCTAGTGGTTGGACGATCTTTGTCTTCCACATCCTTATAATTCAAGAGTTCACATAGTAGGAAGTGAATGACACCATCTGGATTCTCGACTACGGGTGTTTTATACTCTGGAGACACTGCCTTTGCAACATCCGGCATATCAGTATCAATAACTTCAGTAGATGGTTTAAGATCTTGAAGAGTAAGGTCTTCTGTGGCTTGTACGGTTGGCTGGACAGCATCTTCAGAAGCCTTGGCTGTGGATGGACTTTCACTTGGAGGATCACCCTTGAGTAATAACGATGGTACCCGAGCTGTCGATTCAGACGATGGGAAAGGCCATCCTGTAAATTGGACCATCTCGTTAGTTACTTGAACAAATAGTGCCGGGGCACGATTGGCGAGATGTTGCAATCCTCTCAAGTACAATTGAAGGTCAACTGGGGATCGCTGTGGCCGAATATTGTGATCGAAGAATGCCTTGATATCTGATCGCATGATCTGTTTGATAGTCTCGTCGTCCTCAACTATGTGTCTAAGGATGAGCAAAAGAGGGCTGTGAATGCGAGTTGAACTGGCCCCTGCAAGCTGCTTTGCCATAACAAACAATCGCTGGATGTTTTTCTTTTCGCCCATGCCTTGCGCAACTGAGCGGGTACGTGTCAGTATGACAAGGATTCGAAGTACAGCAAGTGCGAGGGATTCTTCTTTTCCAATTCGTGGAAGGATATCCAGGATAGACTCTAATAGTTGAGATCTTTCTTCATCGGATACTGCGAGCTCTACATGCTCAAGGACAGGTGCCACAACCTTTTCATTTTCATCTTTTGGTGGTGTCCACTTAGCCTTTCTTGGCTTGGCGTCTTCGCTCAAAAGCATTTCAACAATTAGAAGAATCTGTGCGATCCAAGGTGATGGTTCCTCGGCGGAATGCGAAGGGGATAGCTTGACAAAACTGAGTAAAGTAGGGAGATTTTCCTTGAGCTCTCCCAGAGCAGCAGCGTAGAATTGTTTTTCACGCAACATCAACGCCAACAAATGAGCATAAGCAGCAATCTTATTACCCTCAGTGCGGACATCCTCAGCACCTGCGAATGACATTAGAGCAACAACAAGTGTTTCGGCGACAATCTTCCTCAGTCCAGAGTGATCTGGAGATTTATTGACCACGGTAGTAATCAAGTCAGATATTTCAAAGGTAACATCGCCATGAGCATTGATGACATCTAAGCACTTATCAATCAAATTATCTCGAATAAGCTTTCGTTCATCATTCAAGTCATCAACGGTGACTTGCTTGAAGGATGGCTCTTCGACCTTGATAGATTGTGTAGGGTTCGACGCAGAACTTTCACGAGGCGCACTTGATCCGGCGCCGTTCTCGTAGCCAGGGGCGAGTTGGTTCATCATGCGATTAAAGCCCTGAGGAGTGAAAGGATCGTTTGCTGGCTCAGGGGCGCCTGTTTGACCGGATGTCGGAGCTGTAGCTACTGTTTGAAGTGAGTTAATGATCGCTGTTACATCCGTTTGGGTAGGATCAGTGGCAATGGATTGCTCATTTGGGCTTGCTGTTCCAGTGGATCCACTTGAAGGTCTAGAATTACCAACAGGCTCGGGAGCAACCTCGATGTCATCGTCAGGAATTGGACAGCGCCCGCGAGTTCTTTCTCTCTTGTGTTCCTTGCAATAGTCAGTTGAATTGGTAAGATTATTGAAGCAGCGATACAGGGCTTCCTTGGCTAAGTCTTCGTCATAACCTTGTTCTTTGAGTGTGTTCACACTATCAGAATTGATCTTGAAGGCCTTTCGGAGAGATTTTGGCTGTCGAGCCGATTGATTTTCGGTAGTTCTCTTGATAGCTCCAGTTTCACCTTCCGTTGAGGCAATAGTACGAATTACTTCAATGAGTTTCTCTGATATTTGGCTTGGGGCCTTTTCAATCAAATCAGATTCCCACAGACCTCGGACAGTAGGAAGAATTGCCATGCGAAGCTCTACCACGAACTGGCCGGGTGTGAAAGAGTCGGACCGAGAACGATCGCGATCTCGTTCACTGCGAAGTATCATAGCCACAGTTTGCGGAACTTCTATGATATGCTTTGAATTGACAAGAATTGCATACAAGGAAAGAATCTGTTTGGCACCAGTAGTCGCCAACTCAAACCTCATTGTCTTTTCAGGTGTCTTATTCTCCCCTTGTTGCTCGTTTGAGTTGTTATTGCCAGCACGGATTTCAGAAGTAAAAGCTTCTAGAATACGGTTCAGGGTAGTAAATCCAGAACGCTCCTTGAAAGCTTGCAAGACAATACTGATGGTTTGGATCTGACGATCTGCATGACGTGAGGCTAGATTGCATTATTAGTCATGATCATGTTTGCGGGAAGAACTAGAAAATGGTACTTACAGTCGACTAACATATCTTTCAATACATGTAACAATCCGATCCAATAAGAGTAGTTGTCGATACTATTATCATCACCTGGACGTGCCAGTTGTTTGAGCACAGACTCAGACAAAGCTTCGGCAATAGTGGTATGGTTTTGTCTGTAGTATGGATCCGGATTCCTCCTACTAAGAAGAACCTTGCCAACGTTCTGGAAAAACGGACCAATAACTCGAGGCATTCTACCAAGGAGGTAGCGCAACGTGCCAAAGTTTCGGAATTGAGCAGAATTGTTCAAAGCTCCGAGGCTCTGAAGTTCCGAAGCGTTCTGAGTTGATTGACTCGCCGGCTTCGCGGGTGTATCCGAAGTAGAATTTGCGTTCGCGAGCTCTGTTTGCAACGCAACAGGCAAGGCCGTAACGTCAACGGATGGAGATGAAGTGTCAGGTTCGACAGTTGATGTTGAAACGTTTGCAACAGGCGGAGATGGTTCTGTACTAACAACAGTGTCCGGGATCATATCGCTAATTCCATTATCCTTGATTCGTGCTGATGGTATTTGTTGCCAGCTCTTTGGAACAAGTCTCTGTAACAAGATTTCTTCCTTGAGAGATGCGCCTAAGAGTGGGCCAAGGGTTTGAATCAAACGGTTGTAGTGATCAGCGAAATTCATGGAGTTGAAGCCAGACGGAGTGTTCCTGTGACTGTATGGAGATCCCTGTATGGAAGCGGTCAAATTGGCGACTAATGAATGAACATTGACAAAAGCTTTCGCGAAAGCAGTGCCTTGAGCCAATATCTTTTCGTCGGCATGTTCACGGCTTTGGCTGTCCACAAATGGAGCAAAGAAAGATGTGCTGAGATCGTGTTTGGCAAATGACTCAAGGACATCTGCGGCAGCCTGAGCTCGCTTCAAAAGAGATGGAATCACGAGGTATGGTTTTTGCTCGGCGAGAAGAGCAATAACGTTCTGCAAATTGCGCGAAGAAATTCCGTCTCCAAAATTTGCTGGCAGACTTTGAGATTCAGCGAGATCAAGCACATACTCAATTCCACCTCTAGCACAAAATTCGCTACGAACCGATGAATTATTTAATACAGTGGCAAGAAAAGAAGCGACAGAGGTAATGTATGGTGTCATGGAAATATCGGGTTCTTTGGTTGATACTGGAGTGGATGCAGTGTCATCGGCATCGCGCATCTCAACATCACTGCCACTATCGACAGCCTTGCCCTTTCCTTTCGCATCCGAGGGGCTGTGTGAAGCGGCGCCTAGTGCAATGACGTTACCGGCCGAATCGTGTTCCCACAATTTAGCGCCAGCTCTATCTTTCTCTGCCTTTGTTTTGCATAAATATCCAACTCGGACAACCATAACAAGAATGGCATTGATGATCTCGCCCTTGAGAGTTGGGTGGTGACGTGCCAATTCATCGAAAGTGGCGCCTAAACTGGATGGCAACTCTCCATTGGACTCCATACATTTGACATGCTCAGGGCTCTCGAATATCTCGAAGAATGAACGCAGAGCATGAGAGGCTCGAAACATCTTCATACCAGTGTTATTCAAACAGAGCGCGCTAAATGCTTGAGGGATGATATTGATGGTCTCTTGGGTTGGCATAATGCCGCGGGCAAGAGGGCCATCGCGGGGAGCTTGAAGCATCGCTAGTGTTGGCGGTTGTGTGGTCGTGAGATCAAAAAGGGGTCCATCATCATCATCGTCATCGTCATCGTCATAGTCTTCCTCTTCTTCATCAGATGATGCGATATCCCCATCAGGTCCTTCGAGAGGGATGCGTGCGGAACTACGCCGCCGCCTCCTAACATCTTTTTCTTCCTTGGGTTCCTTGGGTGATGGTAACACAAGTGGACTACCGGTGACCGCCTCTAGAAATCCCTTGCTCAAACCAGCCTCTGCAATGATTGCAAAGCTCGTGGGCTCATTATTGATAAAACCATTTAGAATGCCAACGGCGTTAGTCCAGACAATGGAACCAAAGCAGCGGCCATTTCCAATGATTTGACGCAAACTACCAAGCAGTTGTGAAGAATCGATAAGGTTGCGCAAGATACGATCAAAGTTACCTCCGTAACTGTTCGCAGATGACATCATATGGTGAATGAATTTGAATAGCCATTTCAAGATTTGTTGTTGATAGAAAGGGACTTCATAATCAGTAGATGGTGAACGATGTTCGACTGGCATTACACTGCCGGATTCTGCAATGCCTGAGGCAACTGTGGTCTCGTGAACAATCAGATCAGAAACTCGATCAAGGCCATTTGCATTGACCAATATCTGAAAGGCTTCACGAGCACTGTACACTACATTGTCCAGGAACGACAAAGTTTTCGGCTGATAACGCTGGGCCACAGTGGTGCGAAGGCCAAGAATTTCGATCATGATAGGTATCAAGCCAGCTGTGACAAGACCCTCTGCAGTGCGGGGGTATTGGCAGAAACTGGTCATGAGTGAGAATAAAGCATTTCGCCACTGATCCTTTTCTGTCAATTTGTCACCGAGATCTTCCACAGCCATCTCTGCCACAGCTTTACGGATGACATACAACATTACACCATGATTTATGGTAGTGTTCAAAGCTTTGCAGACATCTTGAAATTTTGATGAGATACCCGCGATAGCCTCGAGCGTCGAAAATGCTAGCGTTTGCATGTATGTAGAGACAGCGATGTCGCCTTCGGCCGGTGGGTGCACCAAATCAGCAACTTGATAGATAAATTGTAAACGCTTTGGCTCGTCGCTGTCTTGTTTCATGATGTTCTCGAGGAAGACTGGTTCGGCGTAGACATTAGCCATATTTGCAACAGCAAGCATTCTAATCACGAGAGCCTGTTGTCGAGTCTCCAATGAAGAGATGAGAGCTTTTGCAATCCGAATCTTTGTAAATAGCTCATATTGCAGATCTTGGGGAAGGTCCAAACTATACTCCTCCATCAAAGAATAGATATCTGTGGATCTGAGCTTTGCTGAAGAAATCTCTATGACTTTAGCATTCTGTCGTTGGGCATCGTCCGCAGGCATTGTTGGAGTGCGTGCCAATACTGGGGATGTTTCTTCGGGTGCCGACGATCTATTCGCGCGTTGAGCGTTCGGGCCAAGGTTAGATGATCTGCGAACAGGTGTTGGAGTGATGGGCGGTTGTCCAGAAGGGATAGGAACAGTCTCGACTGGCTTCAAAGCAATATTGGCCGGCTCGGATTCAGTCTTGACTTTAGGATAATAAGTCATTCTGACATCGCCCCATTCATCCCAGCTTGCTTGCGATTGAGGTGAAGCAGTATTAACTGAACTCCTGCGAGGGCTCTTTGTATTTGTACTGACACCCGATCCGCCTTTGTATATGGAAACAAGATCGTTTGCATAGACAACAGTTGTTGAATTCTTGGGGCTTACCGGAAGGTTGAAATAGGCCTTGTCTTTCTCCTTGCCTTTGGCTCCAGGTGTTGTGGGATTGGGTGTTGTTGGGTGCCCCGAGCCTGGAGAACTAGTGGTAGTCTTGCTGAAAGGCAGTGCCAGCTGAAGAACTCTGTTGAGATCGATATTGTAATGCTCTGCCAATAGATGCTTAGTACTCCTAGCAGATCCGACACGCTTCATAGCAGAGTTGTATCTCTGGGCTAATTGGGATGTAACAAGAAGAGTATTCTCGAGTAATGACAAAGACGTAGTATTGAGCAAGCTCCCCAGATGCGGACTGCTGGAATAAATACTGCGATTGCCACAATTTTCCAGAAGCATCTTTGAGAATTTCAAGATCGCCTCGATCAATTGTCTATCTCCATCTTCTCCATAGCCCAGCTCCAACAGGTCATAGGTCTTCGTATCATCCGCTGCTGCTCCTACATTCGACTTCAGCATCTCACAACCGAAGTCCACCTTTTGAGGACCATCTGCGAGTTTATATGTTGTGCAAAATCTTTCAAGTATCACATCGAAGCGATTCAAGAGAGAGATCCAATGACAAAGGTCGCCACGGGGAAAAGGCCATCTTGTAGGAAATTGTGCGAGATGTTGTGGGAGGAGGGGCAGAGATATGGAGCATGCGGTTTTTCCGAATTCGCTGACGAAAGGAGACTAAAGATAGAGGGTCAGCTTGACGATGCAGATTGATCAAAGAAAAAAAGGCACTTACTAAGGTTTCAACATGCTTAGGCTGTATTGTCTTGATGATTCTGACCATGATGACGGCAGGCGCGGCAAAACCGCAGGTAAATGAAAACGACCCCCTCCACTACCTCTACAGGTATTATATTTCTTGACAACTCAAAAAAAGAGTGCGACGATATATGGCAGGACCAACTGTAGGTAGATGGCGTTTGGTGCGTTTGCGCCGTGAGCGTAACTTGACTTTTGAGGCAACTATGTACAGTCGCGCGAAATGTGCGAAATGGGTAAGTTAAACAAGGCTAGTTACCTGCTCGCAGATAAACTTTTCGTACGAAGTGCAAATGAGAAAATAATGTTGAAAGTGTACAGGGTCGGGTTGATTCTGTATGTAGTGCGAGGTACTTGGTGAAGAAATTGGAGATATCGAAAAAGTGATGGTGTTGAAAGGTACGGTGCAGGCGCCTTTCAATACTTTGCCGTATCGATAAATGGAGATTTTCCCGATTTGATGACGCTGGGTGGGAAACACCAGACTGTGAATGAGAGATGTATTAAGTCGTAGTAAAGAAAGTCTCTTCGAGTTGATGAATTCTTGAAGTTTGAGAGAACTTTCAAGAACGAAGGATTTAATTATTATGTTGTGGTAGTGGTGGTGGTGGTGGGGTTGAGGTGACGGGGGGGATTGTGTTATGGATTTTGAGTTTGTTCTGGGTGGAAAGGAAGTTGGAGATGTGATGGGATTAATTTTTGATGAAGCTCTTCCCTCGTTGAAGCTCTTTTGACAACGCCGCTTTTACTCTTTACTAAGCCTTAGTTTTTTCTCAAGGCTGAATGTTCACTACGTATCGTACAATCGCTTAATGAAGAGCAACTACGTCAGTCTTGTTAACATTTTATTAAAATGGATTGATTTGATTCGATTTGATTGATGGGTTGGAATGCTTTTTGCTTGCTTGGATGTTTCGTTTGTCCAATGCCTTATGTAATACCTTGTTACACTTTACACCAGCATGAAAAGTTCGAACACAGTTAAAAAGATATAAAATAATTAAATCATCAATAAATTCTCCTATCAATTCGAAGAATCTAATAAGTACCTAGGTAGGTATTGACTGATCTATCTATTAATATGATATGAAGTGGATAGGGACTAGGCATCTTGTGATTATGTTTATTCCATTCCCTCTTTTCTTGTCATCTCCTTGTATCATTTTTCGAAAGGCTTCAAAAGGCTTCAAAAGGCTTCATATTGGTTGGTAGCCTTGTCTGAAGCCTTGAAACAACTCATTCAGCCTTGTTTGACAAGGCTTCCAAAAGGTCTCACACGTTTGGAACCAAGAACAGAACAGGAACATGTAACAGGTAGCTACAAGGTACCTAGGTAGAAAGGTATGGAGTAGAGATTTGCAAAACCTATTAGACCTTGATGTGCAAGCAAGCTCTCAATGGATGAACTACCATGTATCTACCTTCTACCTTTGGTGCCGCCGATGCTCTAGTTATCATCTCCCCGTGATAATGATATATTCACATAGTCTGCCTCCACGGCAGTGGCCCTCGGAGAGCCAGCGGAGCGTCATTCAATCATTACAAGGTAGGTAGGTGGGCGGGTACTTAGATGCTCTCGATACAACAACTGGGATTCCAAAATCAACATTACTTAGGATCTTTAACAAGGATCAAAGAGCTATCATTGGATGTATTATAACGCTTTTGTTGTTCAGCAAGACATTCTCAGAAGTGTCGTCAGTCCCGTTACTACTGTACGTACCTAGTAACTCTCAGGAAAAAAGAATTTAAATGCACTAGGTAGGAGTATTCACATCTCATATATACCAGACCATACCATACCATTATTCATCTTAACAGTAGCGGTAGCTAGCAATGACGCTCCGCTGGCCCTCTGGGAGCCACTGCCGTGGAGGCTTTACTCGCTTTGCTCGATCGATGATATACCTACTTGGGTAGGTAGGTAGATAGATAGAATTGATGGGTGTATTGTATGAATGAATGAGCGGTCGACTACTCCATATGCATAATCCCGCTCCACTCAACAAATCGGAACAATATAAATTAATCGGAGAGGTTGGATAAAGGGATACCTACTACCAAAGTGAAGTTCTCTACCGATTCAATTGGATGCTAACCAACGATTGCGTTTAGCCGCCCTAGAAGTTTGTGAACAGAAATATTCTGAAACATATAAAAATATGTTACTATTACCTGGGTAACAGTACAACCAAAAAGAGGAAAAGAGGAAAAGAGGAAAAGTTTCAAGTTTCATAATTCCGATCTAAAGATCCAAAGCTAAATGATCGATTAAGAAACTTCCCCTTTAGAAAAAGATCAAACGGATGAACCTATCAAATCAATTCCTGGTCCTCGTCGAGGCTTTGATACTATACTACCGGTATACTACCTCGAGACTACTTCGTACCAGTCTCCCAGTCTACCTCGCAAAATCAAAGATGCTACGGTTAAACTAGAGACCAAATAAGCTAGATTCACCCCTGAAGATGTCGTTATGTGGCTAAAGTTACATGGTTAATGGTTATATCCACCAGATCTTGGGAGAAATGTTGACTGATGGATCAATTGGGTATAGTCGCCTCCATTCTTACCCCCTCCCCCTGTTGGAATATTCATACCGGTAGTCTACTCCGTCTGTACGAGGATGTACATATGTGTATGTAGGAAGTCAATTCCGAGTGACTTTTGATTTCGGAGAGTGAGGCATGAGAAAGAAGATATGTAAGGTTAACTGATGTGTCTTCAAATCCTGCCATCTTCGGAAATTCACATCATATCATGGACACCAAGGTGCAAGTCGGGAGATACTAGGTAGGTAGTAGGTACTAGGAAGGTATCTACGTAGCTTTGATATCAAGTTCATGACTCCACCAATCTACCTACTCGGTACCTAGGTAGATAGATATTCACATAACTCTTATCACAATCCTACATTCCTATATCCTCAAAAAAGCATCGAGAATATCGGGAATATCAAGAACGTCCTTCCCCCCCTCTCCCCCATTTGCATTCGACTTCCTTTAAACTCTCTTTCCCCCCTTCCCTCCCACTTAGCGACAAAGGAATATAATTCTCCGAGGCGCGATCGAATCTTGTATCCCCGGGACGTTGCTACTTTCTTTACATGAACATATCAAACGAAAGGAACATAGGATTCTCACACAATAACCCAACACTCCTGAACTTTGGAGATGGAAAATCATATGAATCATTAAGATAGACATGACTTATGTGATTCAAGTCAAAATTACTTTTTACCTCTGTTTCTTTTGGACCCCTTGAAATTACATAAAAAAAAAGAACTCCACAATTCATACTGGGTACAACAAATCCACCGGTCCCTCTTCGATATTGTACACGAGCCTCTTCCTAAGTTCCTACTCTGGATGCATTGAATGATTGATTGCTCTTACACATATTTGAGTTCATCTCCCAAAAAATACAAAGCGGCCGCATTTGCTTTCCACACACTCACTACCTCTAACTTCACCTACCCACCTACTACTTAATATACCTTCTTGACATCTTGGATGGCATGGAATAAAGTACCTTCCTATTAAAACCACCTCAACCAGACCAGTCATTACTACCCACCTCACATTACGAGAATCCTCCTTCCTCGATACACATTCTTCTCTTATATTCATGAAAAGATGGCGGATCACGAACATCAAAAACATATTTCCGATTCCGAAGAAGATTCCATAATGGAAGAGAGAGAGGAAAGAGAAGAGAAAGTAGAGAAAGAGGAGATCGAGGAGAAAGAGGAGAAAGAGGAGAAAGAAGAGAGTGTTGATCAGAGTTCTGATCATGAGAGTGTTCGTTTATCTTCTTTATTTACTTTCAATCCCCTATTTGGCTTGTCCTCCAGAGTTGCACAACAGCTCTACCTGCTTTAGACTGGAACCAACCAATTTACTAACTCGAATCTTTCTGGTAGGACACCTTCGAGGATGCCAATGATGTTGAAGACATTGCCGATACTCTTACCTCCCCAGTTGAAAGGACCAGATCTTTAACGAAACGAAGATCATCATCTATTAAGAGCAATACACAAGATAGCAGTACCGATATCCCATCAGTCCCAACAGTACCACTTCCAGAAACGCATGGCGAAACGAATGACGAACAAATAGAATCCGATAGTCCACCACCTAAATCTCCCCTTTTAACATCTCATCGCATGTCCGCTACATCCCTCCATAATGTGAATCTCGAAGACGGTGATGATTTTGGATCGCCTCCACCGCCTCCTCCCCTTTCGAAAGGTAGTTAGGCCCGCCGAATATTTAAACAATGTGGAAGAGCAATACTGATACACAAGATTTTAGTAGCACCAGATGAATCAAGACCTGATCAACCACCCGAATTACCTCCAAAGCCCAATACCGTAACTCCAATGCAGGGCCTCTCTGGAGCTCTTCCAGATGTGCCATTCTCACCGCCCCCTCCTCCTCCTCCTCCTCCTCCCGCACCTGCCAACCTCCCTGCGCCAACACCTGTCACCAGAAAACTAACCAGTCCGTTCTCGTGGCTGTCGAGAAATACCTCGGCTCCCAAAGAGAACGTCAAGTCACCGCCATTACCTCCATCTCAAGCAACTGAGCGTAGACATACCGCTTCTTCGATAGCAACCATTAGCAGTAATCCCGAAATGATGTTAAACAAATTGGAGGAGGGTAATGACACAGACGCTGCGAATGGAGTTAGACGACCTGCGAGGAATAGTTTAAGGGACAGATTTAAGCTTGTGAGAATGCGAGAAGAGGCCGGCATAACAGAGCTGCCTGAAGAAAAGGATGAGGCAGGCAATACAGCATTTGGGGGTCTCATCAGGCAAGGTACAAGTCTTGGTTTAGGATTTGCCGCCTCACACGACGACAAAGACCCCTCTCCCGTATCTCCCGGTCCGCCTACGAGTCCTAATCCAGTCAGTGTCAACCCCGCACTAGCCCCCGGTACGGCATCTGGAGTTTCTGCAGGCCCTTCTGCAATGGGTGATCCAGAAGCACCGGTCGATTGGGATTTATGGCAAAACGTTGTCTGGGAAGGGCCAGCTGCAGTTGCAAGAACAAGTGCAGAAGAACTAAATCACGCTATTGCAACTGGTATACCGCATGCTATCAGAGGTGTGGTGTGGCAAGTATTGGCGGAGAGTAAGAATGAAGAGCTCGAGGTTGTCTATCGAAATTTGGTCAATCGAGGTACAGACAAGGACAAGGACAGGATGAGTACATCTAGTGGGGCACAAAGCAATGGATCAATAAAAGAGACTGTGGTTTCATCAGCATCATCAATACATTCCGAGAAGTCTACTCCCGCTACAACAATCACCAATGGAATGAGATCTCCCTCTCCCCCTAGTGAGAAGGATGTAGCCGTGTCTTTGGCTGAAAAGAAAAGGAAAGCCAAGGAGGATGCGGCGGCATTGACCAAACTCGAGAGAGCCATAAAGCGGGACTTGGGTGCTCGAACAAGTTATTCGAAATTCGCTGCAAGTGCTGGACTACAAGATGGATTATTTGGCTTATGCAAGGCATATGCTCTTTATGATGAAGGTGTTGGCTATGCACAAGGCATGAATTTCTTAGTTATGCCTTTGCTTTTTAACGTAAGATACGAAACCTCTTATTACTGAATATTCCCTAACATTCAATAGATGCCCGAAGAAGAAGCATTCTGTCTATTAGTACGACTTATGAATCAGTATCACCTTCGAGATCTCTTTATTCAGGATATGCCAGGTCTACATAAACATCTTTATCAGTTTGAGAGATTATTGGAAGACTTTGAACCAGCATTATATTGCCATCTCCATCGACGTCAAGTCACGCCCCACCTATATGCCACGCAATGGTTTCTAACTCTTTTCGCCTATCGATTTCCATTACAACTTGTGCTTCGAATTTACGATCTCATTTTAAGCGAGGGTCTCGAAGCTATTCTCAAATTTGGAATTGTACTCATGCAAAAGAATGCAGCTCATCTACTCACCCTCAATGACATGGCTGCATTAACTACATTCCTGAAAGATCGACTTTTCGATGTTTACATTGATGCTTCTCCTTCCGCAGGATCAATTCTGGAATCTGGTTTCTTTGGAAATTCAGGAGCAAGTATTGATAAGGAAGTTTACCGAGCAGATCATATGATTCAAGATGCTTGTGCCGTCAAAATCACTCCTAAAATGCTGGAAACTTACGCATTAGAGTGGGAGGAAAAGACCAAGATAGAAAAGGATCGGGAAGCAGAATTGGAACACCTAAAATCAACAAATATCTCTCTCACACACAAAGTTCGACGTTTAGAAGAAAGAGTCGAATCTCACGATACGGAACACGCAGCTTTGGCGACTGAATTGGTTCGAACTAAAGTCGAAAATCAAGAGATTCATGAAGAAGCCGAAACTCTTAAAGAACAAGTTAAAGAACTGAAAAATGTAATTGATAAGCTACCGGATGAGATTGAAGCGAAATTACAGAGTGAGATGGATAGATTGATGAAGAGGAATCAAGAAGTTCATGAAGAAAATCAAAAATTGGAGGATGAAATGAATGAAATGGAACAAAACTTGGTGGAAACAAAAATGAAATATGCTGAGGTATGTTATTGCCCCTGGTGATGATTGATGAATGAAGTACTAATAATGAAATAGATGAATGCGGCCCATGAAGCTCTAACTCGTAAATGGACGGATTTGAGGAAAGCTTTGGGTGATTAAATATCGTTATTGAGAGATAACCTAAATTATTAAATACGACTTGTACAGTTCTTCTCAGTTGATACCGATGCCTTTGAAGTATCTTTGGAGGAGGGGCATAAATGCCAATATTGGGGAAAGAAAGAACCATGCTCTCTCTCGTTTGGAAGCTTGCTGGATTTCTTGCTAGAAGGAGGGGAGTGGATTGGGAATAAATCAGATTATACAGGTACTGCTGCATTGGTAGCGAATGGTATAGGATTTGGCGTGGGTCGTAAAAGTACCGGAGAAATACTTTGGGTGCTTGTTTGCTTGCTTGTTTCTTTCTTTTTTTGTCGTTTTAGCGAGATGTTAGGAGGAAGAGAAATTAAAGACGGGTATGGATGGGGGAATGGGGAGAGGAAGGGGATGAGAGGAGAGGTGAGGTGAGGTGAGGTGAGAGGGGGAAAGGAGGAAAGGAGGAAAGGGGGGGAAGAAATAAAAATTAAGAATAAATGATCAATGATATCCCCATTTGTGTTTGTGTGTGTGTGTGTGTGTGTGTTTCTATTTATGGATTTTGCTTTGATTTGACTTTGGTTTTGAATTTGAATTTGAGTGTGCTTGAGGGATTGAAGTGAAGTGAAGTGAAGTGAAGTGAAGTGAAGCGAAGTGAAGTGAAGTGGAGGACTTGTCGACTGCATTAGACTGGATTGTTTGGGTGGTGGACGATCGAGTTTTTGATTAAGTGAAATTTTGGCTTGGTTTTGAACTGGGTTTGACTGGGTTGGACTGGGTTTTGAGCTGGCTTGAAGGTGATGAATGGATATATATGGGTTGGTGGATGGGTTGGTGGATGGATTGATGGATGGGTTGATGGATGAGTTGATGGATGGATTGGTGGATGGGTTGATGGGTTAGTGAATAAATAGATAGATACAAATTTTTGAATTTCTTATAAAGTTCTGGGGTGCTGGATGGAAATTAGATGGGTGGGTGGATGGGTATGGGTGTGTGTTGGGGGTGATAGGGGGTGGAGGGGGTGATATTTCTGTATGTGTATGGTGTTGGGGGAAGGAGGGGTGGGATGGAATGGGATAGGGGGGATGGGATGGGGTGGGATGGGATGGGATGGAGATTGAGATTGAGATTGGGGGAGAGAGAGGGAGAGGGAGAGGGAGAGGGAGAGGGAGAGGGAGAGGGAGAGGGAGAGGGAGAGGGAGAGGGAGAGGGAGAGGGAGAGGGAGGGTAATAGAAAGACTGTGAGTGGAAAGCTGGAATGAATAGGAGTGCAGTGTAGTATTGGGATTTTGTTTGAGGGTTTAGCGGTTGGAGTTACTTATTTAATTTACTTAACTGGCTAAGTAGATAGGTATTTACTTATATTTATTTATTTGACTGGCTAGATGGGTATTTATAAGGTGGTGGGTGGTATTTATAAGTTGGAGGTATTGGGTAAGGAGTGAGGAGTGAGGTGTTGTTTGTGTGATTGTAGAGTTGAGATTTTGAGATTTTGAGATTTTGAGATTTTGAGATTTTGAGATTTTGAGATTTTGAGAAAAGAAGAGATGTAAAGGAGAAGGGAGAAAAGAAGAAAGGTGTAAAAAGAGTAAAGGACTATAGAAGAAGGATATGGATATGGGGGGGGATATAAAAAAGAGGGGAGGGGAGGAGAGGGGAAAAGAGGGAGGGATCGGGAGAGGGGAGGACGGCGCGGGAGGGCCGGGCGGGCGCGGCGGCGCTGGGTTTCTTCTTTGTTCTCTTCCTCCCTCTCGTGTCTTCTGTCTGCTCGGGTCTGTCTCGCGCAGGTCTAGTTTGCTCCCCGAGCTTGGGGCTGGGAGTTAGGAGTAGTAAGTAATGAGTAGTAAGTAGGTAGTAAGTAGTAAGTGATTATTTATATAGATACATAAAGATATAGATCTAGAAATACCACTGCTAGAATTAAAGCTACCTACCTAGGTATATATAGGTATCTCTATACAAGTATATAGATATATAAACAAAAGATTAATTCAGTTTAGTTTATTTGTAATTATGATTTTGATGTATATATAGTATACAATATACGTATATATTTGTATTAAAATTTGAAATTTGAAATTTAAACACAAGATTAACTCTTCAAGATTTAAATTTTCTATACAATATATTATTATTACAGTTCTCATCACTCCCAATTTCCGATTCCAACCTTCCTCTTCTCCTCTCTTCTCCAAACCTATCTCTCTCTTTTTCTATTTGTCTTCCCCCTTCTCTGCTCCTCCCGTTCCTCTTCTCCTTGAATCATACCTTTCCCTTCACTCACACCTGTACTCGTATCAAGATTTCTACTCACATATTCATATATTTATTTAAACAAGATTATTTTTTTTGAAAAAAAAATGAAAGAAAGAAAGAAAGAAAATCTCCACCACCAAACCCACATCACCAATTTACAACCCAGAATCAAAATACTGATGATATAGATATAATACCATTAATCTTCTAGGAACCTCGGGAACAATAGATATCACAAGCTCCTCGCGTTATATGAAACAGAGTTTTATCTATCTATCATACACGATGTGAAGAGTAGATCTTTGTAATATTATTTTCTACTGATTTGTTTATTTTATTTTATGCGACGAGATGGTGGATGGTGGGTGGTGGATGTGTATAATATGTATTGTGTAATCGGCGTAGGGTTAAGGATGTAGATAGGTAGGTAGGTATAGATACCTAGATATACCGAATCGATTGAGAATGTTCTGTTACTGTTATAGATTTGCATGTAGATTTACATGTACAGCGACCGTGCACAGATAGTGGCCGATCACCTAAATCACACCAAAAAATAGCGATTCATTACATTTTGTATAATCATTTATTAATATTTATAATCATTTTTTTTTAATTGAATCTTTTTTTATATATTATTTATATAATAATGATCTATATTCTTAGTTTTCTAAGTTTTAATATAAATTATATAATCAGAAATTTATTATTAAAATAATAACTTATAAAAGTTCTTCAAATTTCGCTTATTTTACTAGTAAATTCTGGAATTTTCAAATTTCTATATTTTAAATCTATATAATATAATCATTTAAAATTTCAAAAATAAACTATAAATTTTTCTGAAATCTATAATCAAAAGTAAATAAATTCATATAAATAAAAATTATAATTTTTTATTTAATTATGTTGAAATTTATTGGTTTAAATGATGAGTTTTGGTGTGATTTAGGTGATCGGCCACTATCTGTGCCCTAGTACTGTAGATAAATATAAAAGAAGAGAGTATTTTGAGATTTAGATTAAGATCAAGGACAATTCTTATACATAAAAACTTCAAATCTTCCATATATTACATCTTGTGATATTCAGACCATGAGAGTCACCAGATTGCCAAACGACGCCGGAAGTGATATGTGATATCCTCTATGAACTCACTTGGAAGAACTTCAGCTCTTCAGGGCTAGTCACAATGAACCCAAAGACTTCATCAGGGCAAAGTAGGAGCTATGGTAAAATCAATTCAATTCTTCATCAAGTAGCTACCATAATACTTTAATCAACCATTGATCAAATGTACCAGATATTCTAGCTGGATAGATAACAAAAGCACAGGGTATAATCATCCTCTTCTTTCTTTCTCTATTTCTCCTCTCAAAATTCTAAACATTCACTCAAACAAATCCCCATTCCCTCCTAACACCTTCCCACTCTCCAGCCCCTACAATCTCTACTTCTTTCCCTCTTCCTGCCCCCTTCCCTTCTAAATCCTTCCACCTCAGATCTACTTTCGCAGCCACATTTCTCTCCCCATCCCTCTTCAACCCCTTTCTTCCGGTTCCAACTCCTCTTCCTAAATTTCCCTCCCTCTCTCCCAAAACTCTCCCTTTCTTAACAACTTCCTCCTTCCATGCCCTCCAATCCTCATATTCCTCTCTCTGTCTCGCAACCCAGTATCCCGGTGTACTCTTTGCCGGTCTCCACTTGCCCCTATCTGCTTTTATGGCACCCAAATCATAAATTCTCGAATTTTCCCCCGTAGCCAGCGTCAAGAGCTCGCTTAGCACATCTTGACCTTCTGCTATAACCAATGCTTTCCTCTGTTCCTCGACTGATTTAGATTTAATCAACGGTTCATCCAACCAAGACATATTTTCGCGTTCCGAAAGTTTAACCCGACGATTATCTTCCCGGAGGTAACGAACTGCAGCTTGCAAACTAGCAATTTCAGTCTTGAGCGCATCCATTTCTCTGGCAGTGGCAACAGCACGTTCCTGGCCTGCTTTAGAACCAGATACGACTTCACCCAAAGCTTTACTTTCATCCGCAATCTTCTTCCACTTCTCGCGATCAGCTTCCATAGTTGATAATTCTTTGTTTTGAAGTTCGATTGCTTCAGCAAGTTCTGCTTCACGGTACTTGGCAACTTCGATTTTGCGCTCAAGTTCATTAATACGTTCGTTCTTCTTGGTAGCATCTCTCATGCGACTTTCTAGAAGTTCTATCTTAACGGATGATTCTTCGAGAGTTTGATCACGTAAAGCGATAAGACGGAGACGCTCATGATTGTCTTCTTTCAGACGACGGAGTTCTTCTTGAGTGTCAACGGTTACAGTCTTGGAAGATTTCAATTCTTGAGATCTGAGAATCCAAGGGGCTGTTGCAAGCTCAAATTCTAGGGTTTTATCCAGATCGGATGTCAGAGTTGAGAGATCGATTAGTTGATTATTGAGAAATTTGAGCTTGTTTGAGTAGGTAGAGAATAAGTCGGATTCGTCAGTTGAAAGTATGTTTGAAGTGGTCTGGTAGATAGTACTTTGAACTTCTACATATGTGTATGGCTCGGCTCTACCTTCTTCGTGTAATACCGTGTACAGGTCGTTTCCTACATGACGTGTGTATTCTGTAAGTTGTTGAGTTGCCAATTCGCATTGCTCAAACGATTCAATAGTGTCAGGCATAAGTGATAATGATCGAGCTTTCATGTCTTCAATCTCTCTGACTGCTTTTCCAACAATGACCTTTGCACTGCGCGTCTGGGTAATGACTGCCTCCGTCTTCTTGGAGAAATGTTCAAAGAGCTCATCATCCTCCTCTTGACTGGGTATGATAGTTTGAACCATGGTTCTCGTAGACGAAATTGCAGCAGCAGCATTTTCCAGCTGACTCTGCATGACAAGAGTACGCATATGAACCTCGTCAGCATAATTAGCAAGGCTATCTCCAAGATGAACCTCTGCAAGATGAGACATGAGAGCAATAGTACGTTGCAATTCGCTAGCACATTGCTTTTCCTTCAATTCATCTCTTCTCAAGCCATCTATCCATCCATTGAGTGCTCTCTCAACAGGTTCAAGTTCATATAGTGCGCCCTCGTATTTGCCGAATTCTTCAATTGAGCAGTGGCTGATGGCATTGACAAAACGGTTGCACATGGCACCAACCCATACGAGTTTGTCAAGAACATCACAGCCAGCAAAGATGTCGTCCTCATGGCCAATAGGTGGCTGTCCGTTTACCCTCTCTTTAACAAATCCATGTAAAAGATTTGCTTTGAAAGCCACACGTCGGAATCTTAGCAATGCCAAAACTGAATCTCTTTCTGAATTGAACTGATCTGGTAAGAATAGCTGAACGATGGACAAATGTTCCGATGCCTCCTGAGCATCTAAGCGACGTAGTTCCAAGTCGATTGTCTTGACTTGAGTTTTGGCAGCAGAAACTTGGAGCTTCATATTTAAGTCTTGCATTGCACGTGTTCGGCTGTTCAATTGTTCCGATTCTGTTTCTGTGACGGCATGTGATGCTCTTATATCTTCCAAGTCGCTTTGTAGACTAGTAACTAGCTCACGGAATCTCGATAAAGTATATTCCATGTCATCCAAGGTCTCATCTTGTTGGGCTGCTCGTCTTGCTTGCTCATTAATAATGCTTTCCTTGAAGTCGATTTCTTCCTGCATCTCCTTCTCGGTTTCGACGTGATTAATCTCGAGTTCGTCGTTAAGTTCCTTCAAGCTTTCGAGGTCCTCAATTGTGACTTTCAATTCCTCGATTTGCTCACTCATACTCATGTTTCGATCGGTAAGTTCCTCAATCATGTCTTCGGCACCTAGAGCATTATCGAGTTGTTGGCGGAGATCTTCAATGATGGCTTCTGACTGAGCAAGTTTTCCCTTCACCACATCATAATGTTCCTTGACACTACCGAGCTCTCGAACATCTTCTTGTAGACTCTTGATTTCGTCTTTAAGCTCGGCCTCAGCTTGTTGTGTCAGATCTCTGAGCCTCAGAAGGGCTTCCGTTAATCGTTCATTCTTTCTCTCCAGTTGCAGATAACTTTGACTAGTCTTCTCTTCTGCACTCATTTCTCCTCCCAATTCTGTATTCTCTTCTCGCAATACCTCGACCTCCAACTCCAACTCTTCAGTCTTTTGTTTCAAGGCATCCAATTCAGTTCTGAGCACTTCGGCTGTTTCTTCTGCCATTTCCCTATCCAGGGTTGCCATTTCAAGTATCGATTCATGTTCGGCTTGCATACCTTCCACTTCCTCAAATCTAGCAGCAAACTCTTTCAATTGTTTTCTCAAGTCCGTTATTTCTTGTTGCTGAGGTTGATATTTCGTTTGTAACTTCTGAATAATCCCCTCGAATTTCTCCTTTTCAGCTTGAACATTTTCCAAACCTTTCAGCTTCTCCCTATCCTCCATTCGTTTCTTCTCCATTACCCTTAGCTTTGTTTTCAGGTCCTCAATCTCCCTGCTGGCCGCTGTGCTCGTTGCAACACGCTGTCCGGCTGGTGATCCTGCTGGCGAAGCTTCTCGCCCAGTCCTAGTAAATACGGGGCTTGAAGCTTGCGGAGACAACTGATCCGTATCACTCCTCAGTGAGGGTGATAGCAATCTATCTTCATCAACCGTATCATGAGTACCATCACTGACTTGACTAGACCCTGATGGTGCGCGGTCCGGAGCAGGTCGAAGTGTGCGTTTAGGGGCCAAAGAGGTGGGACGAGAAGCAGTTGTCCTGGTCGCAGGTCCTCCAACCCTATTTGCTACACCACTACCTCCAGCTAATGGTTTTCCTCGTCCTCCAGGTGGAGGTGGCGGGCCCATTGATGTCCGACTTACAGATGATGGCCGAGGTCTTGTAACGCCGGCAGAGGGCGCACGAGAATTCGCAGGTGTACCGGTTCGGGAGGTTGAGGCAACCGAAGTACCTGCGGAGTATAGTTGCTTTGTAGGGGATTTTGTGGGAGACTAGATGTAGGATTAGAATATGTATGGCATCATGTGAACGTATACATACACGAAGGCCTGAAGGGCCAGAGGGATGTCTTCCCTTGGGGCTTGGGCTCGGAGCATTCATGCTTTTCCTTTTTACGCCATTATCTGGTACAGAGTTTGTTCTTCGTGCAGCCGGGGCAGCAACGCTGCTTGGTCGACCAGGTTTCTTTGCAGGCGCAGGTGCTTTTGGGGGAGGTGCAGGTCGATCGATAATAGCAATAGTAGAAGGGCGAACAAACATTCCTTTGCCCATCTCGCACTGAAAATATCGCCTTCCCAAGACACTGCCATCATTTTTGCCTCCTCCATCTTCTAATTCAACTCCGACCCAGTCCCCTGAAGCAAATATTGGATCCGTTCCCATCCATAGAATAGTTGCTATAGCACCATTTCCAAGCTCCACCGTTTGGCCAATTTCGAATTCGGCCATGATGTGCGAATCATCTGAGAAGTATTGAAACTGTAGTTGGATAGTATGCGTCCAGAGAAGCTGTGGGATTTATCGTTGCTAAGTAAATAATCGAATTATTGACAAGTAATTGTCGTTGTCGCGTTCGCGTTGAAACAGGTTGTGGTTACGTAATCATGAAGTCGTCCGTGCTGGTAGGCTCGAGGTAAGTCGGGTACCCTACTTTCGGGCCAACAGGGTTTTGGGCCACCCTTTTACACCAAAAATCACTTTTTAGACCTATTAATATCTCTATTAACATTTAATATAATTTAATGAAAATTTGTATATATATAATTTAGATCGATTTAAGCCTATTCTGAAATTTTTAGATTTTTAGGATTTTTCTATATTGAAAGTTAAAGCTTTAAAATATCGATTTTCAAATTTGTATAAAAATTACATACAAAATTGAAATTTTTATGAAATCTTTAATAACTTTTTAATAACAATAATTAAAAGAAAACTATAAATATTTTTAAAATATTTAAGCTTCAATCTATATAGAAATTCAAAAAAAAAATTCAAAAAAATTAATAGATATAGAGATATAGTATACAATAAGTTTAGAGTAGTATAAATAATCCCTGTCATTTTGAGAGTATCCCTATAAATATTTATTTGTAAAAAACTTTCTATTTTTTCTGAATCTTTTAGATAAAATATATTATAAGTTTATAATAAAATTTAATAGTTTATTTTTAGCAATTTTTATTAAAAAGTTATTAAAGATTTTATAAAATTTTTAAATTTATATGTGATTTCCATACAAATCAAAAAATCGATATTTTGAAGTTTTAGATCTCGATATAGAAAAATCCTAAAAATCTGAAAATTTCAGATTAAGCTTAAATCAATCTAAATTATATATATACAAATTTTCAGTAAATTCTATTTATAAATAAGAAAATTATAAATTTCATTTTTGGTATATTTTTGATATAAAAAGTAGCCCAAAAGGGAGATAGCCCGAAAATAGAGTACCCAACTTACCTCTAATTCAATGAATTTTTAATTAAAATGATTTATATTTTATTTCTTGATTCTATCAATTGAGATTTATATTATGATATAGAGTTTTTTCAATTTGGAGCTATATTGATTGAATTGGATTTTCCACTTTCAAAAATTCGATTAGGTGATATTCGAAAAAGTGCTTTTTTTTTGGACACACGTTATTAAATCGGGTGTAATCAAGCCCCTCCCCAAATACAAATGTTTACAATAATATATGTAGTTTCTTTGTATTATGGAAACGGGAATTAATAAAACTTCTTGTAAATCAAAGACTATGATATCATTTCATAAAATCCTGTCTCGTATAAAACTGTAAAAGAAAATAATCACATTCTACCCTCCGCACTTACACATTTCACCACACTACTCCAACTACAAAAGCATGATAGCAGCACCCACAACCGCGGCCACCGCACCTCCCAAACTATCTCCTCCAATCCTCTTCTCGCTTCCTGATGTGCCCGTAGCGGCACTGGGGGCTGTAGTTGTCGCCGTAATACCACTGGTGAATGGCGCGATTGCTGCACTAGTTGCGCCCGAAAAGGCAACAGGCTGCTCAGTCGCAGTAGGGTTTGTAACGGCAGTTGTGTTAGAGGGGTTGAGAACGTTGTCAATAATGTGCATGACTCCGTTAGAAACAATGATGTCGGCGCCGATGACTTCGGCGCTGTTGGCGAAAATTTTGGAGTCTTCTGAGGTGACGGTGAGGGATTCACCCATGAGCGATGGGAAAGATTCATTGGCTAGCCCGGTGGATAGGAGAGTTGAGTAGCCGACCTATGAATGGGTTAGTTAAGAAGTAAGGAACTGCGAGAGTCAAAGAGAAACTTACGGTGCCGTTGAGAACGTGGTATTCGAGGATTTGACTGAGTTGCGTTGTAGGTAGAGCAGCAGCTGTGTTCCCAATTCTCTCAAAAGCTTCATTAGAAGGAGCGAAGATAGTAACATCCTTGAGGGATTCGACTGGTGCTATGAGGGAAGTAGTTTTAAGGGCACCCGCAAGAGACAACAGGTTTGAGTCGATGGCTGACATGGATGCCGAAATAGGGATAGTAAGGACTGTATCGACAATGTGCATCACGCCTCCATTGAACATAATATCCTAATGTATGTTAGAACTGTTTTTGCAACAAGTTGAAAGGACGAAAAGAATCGGGTAGTTGCTTACAGTCTGTGTTGTAGTACTTTTCTCTTTTAATCCAGTGGTAACAACAGCATTTGAACCAACCAGAGCAACCTGTACTACTTGTCCACCTGTGACTTGGGTGTAGCTCTCATTTTTCAGAAGCGTTGGAATGAACTTTGCGTCCTTTGAGAACATGCTAGCCGGAAATGTACCATTCAGAACGTGATATTGAAGAACAGCAGCAACAACATCGCTTTGGCCGGCTGCGGCCTTATTTGCAGGCGTCGCAAGGAATTTCGTGAACGCCGCGTTATTTGGTGCCAGGACTGTAATTCCCGATGAAGTATTGGAGGAGAGTGCGCTTACGAGTGCGGGCTGTTGTCCGAGGAGCACTGCAAATGTTAATATAGTGATGTTAGAGGAATACCATATAACTTACTGGAAAGAGTAGATAGAGTTTCGTTATTAGCTACGATCGCTTGGGATAACGTCATCCCAGAAGTGCTAGCAGCAGCTACAGAGGCCGTATTATTTGTCGCCGGGGCGTCAGTGATCAATGCAGTGACGCTTGAGGCGAGGAGCGCCAGCGAGAAGAGTGATGGTGTATACATTATTCTGGAAGAGATTGGCAATAGATTCAACTATTACTCAATTATATTCTGCTCTGCAAATATTAAAAAGGAATAAGTAAGACTGGATAATTATCAAAATCACCGAGCAAAGAAACAACAAGAGGGACGTAAAGGAGAGATATAAAAGATGGTAGAGGGAGATCCCTTTTGAGGGCAAAGCGGAATTGGAAACGCCCCGCAAAGGAAGAGTGCACTTTCAAGCACATCTTCCCGACTAAAAGTCTTGAACTATAAGTTTTTGATGCCGGAACATCACATATGTGGTAGATTGAGCATAGGGAAAGCAGCACAGACACGAATTGAGTGTGACAACTAATTGCAGTAACAGGGTTGAATGTTTGAAGCACACTTGCAAAACCCTAGAACCTCCAAATAAGAGGGGTGGCAATTGTTGGTAACAATTTCGAATAGAGAAACACACACTAGAAAGCTTGAATTATAGTATAAGGTTAAGAAATAAGGTTAATTGATAGCTGGAGTATGTATGAAACGAGCTGTGGTCAGATCTCGACTGCGGGGTATGATTGGTCGCATGAAATGTCAAAGCCCCTCAAACACGAAAAGAAACCATTGAAACGAACAGCATTTGACTCTGGTCAAGGATCTTATTCGATACTTGTATGCTGCTTGAAGAAGAGCCATCAAGAGGTATCTGAAGAGCAAATTGTAGGGAAATGATCAAGAACTCCCATCAGTTTATGTAGAATCTGTCGAGGAGGGGAATTTTGAGTTTAATTCATCCTAGCCGACTTTCAAAGATGCATTTGTTGCGAGCGCATTTTGGAGACTAGTGAAATAGCCGGGGAATAAAGCTGACACCAAGATACGTTTATGATATTGGGCTGAGCACTTGTCTCATAACGAAAGACTGAGGCACACCAAGAACACCGAGTCTTGGAATCCGCATATTTGCGAATTAGTTGGGTCAAGTGAATTTGGCCATTTAGAGGAAGCAAGTAACCTATAAATAAGATTGAAAATTCAAGAAGGAAGTTGGTAGGATAATTCATGAAATTATTGGCATTCGCCTGGCAAGCAAAAGCAGTATTGTGTGCTCTATAGTATACTTTTGAGGTTAATCGCCAGTCCATTTCAAATCCCACTGAAGACGATGCTGGGCATTCTTATGAGCCCCAGAGTTTCCATCCCTGGCAAATACAGCCATACCAACAAATTCCCCATCGTCCCGAGAGATTCCTCCATCAAAATCTCAAGACCATTAACCAGTAAGTTCCTTGATGAGGGCTCCTGGGGTAGGAAATAGGACATTTCTCTTCTTCTTGTACTTGTCGCCGAAATCAATACGGTATTGCTTCTCCTTCTTGACGGCCCATTGCTGCATTTGTGCTGTTCCAACGATAGCGAAAATGACCGTACTCAAACTCTTAGTCACCAAGATCATACCAATCCACGCGAGAGTCTCAAAAAAATAATTAGGGCATGTTACCATGGAAAATCCGTACCCCTGAGGAATTCCACGTTCAGTCCCTCCCGGCGAGCGAAGGTTCGAGAGAGTAAGATGAGTTTTGAGATTGGAAAGCTCGCCAAAGAGATATAGAGCCACTCCAGCCATATTCAGGTAGTCAATTTTCGGGGATGAAAGGGCAGTGTAGGATGAGGGGGCATATATAAAGTAGGCGATGTAGAGACCGCTAAGAAGCCAGTAGTGAGCGCAGTTTTTGAAGATGTTTCTAGCTGGCATTGTAGACAGGGAGAAACGGTGAACGTAAACGGTTTCATATTCGCGTTTAAGAAAATGAAGAACTATGAGTGACATTGAGAGCAGCTGAGAACTCGAGAGGGGGGCAATGGAGGTGGTAGGATGAGAGTAGATATAAGGGCGGAGGAGGGGAAATCCAAGGTGGATTAAGATAGGACCGAGGTATTCGATTATATAGACGGTACGCCAGCCTAATTGAGGACCTATAATAGATTATAATGTAAGTTTTGATGCTTGAATCGAGTGATGATTTGCAGGTATATACCTAGGTCCTTGATCAAGATTTCCTTCCCAGTGATCACTTCTTTATGTTGAGAAATGAATGCTTTCCTGTCTTTCAAGATCTTCTTCTGTTCTGGATCGAAGATACCAAATCTATTGGGGTCCCAGCCGCCGGCTTGCTTAGCCAATTTATCTTTAACATCTTGAACCGTGGTCGTTTCGTCGATATCAATCGAGGTAGGAAGACGTTTGATGGGGTTTTTGGGAGCTTTGAAGATTAGCTTTAAGAATGTTCAATGGCAGCAAATTGAGCAACTTACAGCGATTTGTAACCTTTAATGTGACTGCCATCTTGGAAGAATTGACAATGTATGATCTGAGGGGATTGATCAAGATTGTTGAAGATTTAAGAAGACGGCGCTGAGGTCGGGGGAAGTAATAAGTGAACGAGGTGAACTTGCTTGTTGGCTGTCGATCTTCAAAATTATTTGACTTTTGACTATTGACCAGGCCAATTGGTCCAGGCACGGAATATCCGCCACCAATTCACCGATCATGATGATGATCATCGGAGGGAGATCCAACACACCCTGCCAACTGTACGATCTAGGCCCAATTAAAACGACACTTTGGCAGTACTCTGTACTCTTCTGTTCGAGATACTTTGAAGTCTAATTAAACTCATGAAAGCAAAATGATAGACCAGCTCCCTAGTACCTTTCTATGGATCTATCTAGAAAGGATCTAGAAAGGATCTTGAAAGGTATGGATATCAAAATCAAGCTATATGAAAGCGGTGAATGTGGATCATTCATCACATGATATGATAGACTCAAAGTTTGGTTTAGTATGTTTCATTCCAGTCTCTCTCTCTCTCTCTCTCTCCTCCTTTTTGTTGACTCTCACTTGTTCCCGTTGTAAATATAAACACCTATTTCAATTCGTTTTCCCCTCCGGTAACCTTCTCACTTCAATTGGATGGGCATATCATACCGAGTGGTTCAATTGGCTGATAAATCATGAGGTCTATCAAATACAACTTTACCTTGCATTGCAGCCCTCCACAATCCTTGCTCTGCAAGCCATCTTCTCCTCACTGCTCTGCGAGAAGACAAATTCGGATGTTTTGAGCTTCAAAAGCCCCTGAAAAGAGGAGATTGAGGGGTTGAGCTGCTACGCAGTAGCCAATGCTTTTTTACCCACGAAGTACTCAAGTGGGACTTCTTCACGTCCCTAGAGCTTCATTTTCAGCAGCATCAAAAACACACCAACGCACACATCCTGCAAAGTAAAGCAAATAGTGTATTCGTTGTAGGGTTGTATGCCGTTGGCGAAATCCTCTCACTTCCCCAGATATCGGCTTGCGGGGTCGGGTACCATGTTGTGCTCTCAATAAACCAATCAAATATTGGAGTAGGTTTGAAACATTTTAATTTCGTCTACCTTGTGTCATTGATTTCCGTGTATGAGTGAAGCAAAACACAAACCTGAGAGATCATTCGATTTTGAGTTTCGAATCGAGCTTTCGGGGAATGTTGTAAAGCCTTTTGTTTGACCACCGAATCTCGATTTAGAGATTCAATAATGATATCACGTCCATACATTGAATCTTTAGGATAATATCGCGTAGACTGGCAACTTAATGATACATCAAGTGCAAGCATTTCCTATCAAGTGGCACGCCATGTCCAAATCTGCGACTTTGCATACATTCAGGTCTCACCTCAATCTGAAGACTGTCAATGCATTGTCCAATGAACTGCTAATATTTCAGCCTCTGAGAAGCTCTGATGTAACCCTTCAATTTGATATTCATAGGTTTTGATTGGGTTACAATGAAGGGGATATCAATTCCACTTTCTCTTCAAGACTGCTGCGACACTGCAGGAGCTATCAAATCGAGGGGAGAGCTTCCCTTTCCCCTCTCTCAATTGCTTACCAGGTAGCTCAGCTTCCAACCTCTTTCTTTTCCTTCCTCTTACATCACCTAGAACTTTCCTTTTTCCTTTTCCTTTCAAACAAAAGCTATCTACAGCCTGTTCCTCTCCTCTCGTTCGAAGGTACAAATCATACAGAGACTCCAGTAGCACCTTAATTCAGCTCATAGCACGGTCTCTCCTCTCTTACCGCAACTAACTATCAATTGTTGATAAGTAAGTAATAAGCAGCACGATGCACTCTAGCTTCCTATTATATTTATGCTTACATTTGTCGTGTCTTCAGACAGAAGCTAACGCTCAAGTAGAGGCTGATTCATTGATTCAATCGCAATGATGAGACGCCTTTCGAGTGTTTTTAAAAGTAAAGACAAGGAAAATACTAAATCCTCACCTGCGTCTGCCGAAAATGGAGCAACCTCATCAGGCGGTCCAGCGCGTCGTTTGACTTTAGGTGTGACTAAAAAGTCTACTAGTGGTACCGCAAGCTCCAATCCTCAAGTATTCGAAGGTCCCGATCATAGTGTAAAACGCGCCGGTATTGTAGGAACTCTCGAGTCACTCGGAAAAGTCATTAGCACAGCCAATCGTCCTTTAAACACCGAAACTGGAGATGGCTCATACGATACAAAACAGGAGCAATCGGGTTTATGGGATGATCTCAAAGCATTGCGAATCAAGGATTTGGAGACATTGCAGATGACTATAAAGCAAGAACTAGGATCTTCAAATCTGGCAGATGACAAGACCATGTTAATGGAGAAGCTTATTCAGGTAAGTCTGACCCTCGACTTTCAACACACAAGTACTAAGACTCGATAGTTGGTTGCCAACCTTCCTGGAACCTCCAAGACTCGAGTTAAGCTTACAGAAGTACTTGTTGATGAGCTATGGGGATCCTTGGAACATCCACCAGCTTCAATGCTTGGTGACAAGTATAATTATCGACAAGCCGATGGCTCGTAAGTATAACACCAGAACCATTCGGGTTATTTCTCCAACTAATCCTTATTTATAGATACAATAACATCAAGTTTCCCGATATTGGAAAAGCAGGCACAGCATACGCTCGAAGTGTTACTCCAAAAATCGTTCAACCAAACCCAAAACCAGATCCAGGCCTCATATTTGACACAATTATGAGTCGAGAAAATGGTGGATTCAAGCCCCACCCGAACAATATTTCCAGTATGCTTTACTATATCGCAAGCATTATCATCCATGACTGCTTCCGCACCTCACACGAAGATTTCAATATTTCAATGACCTCCTCTTATTTAGATCTTTCTCCTCTGTATGGAAGTAATCAGGATGAACAGAATAACATGCGAACACTTAAAAATGGAGAACTAAAACCAGATTGTTTCGCTGAGAAGAGATTATTGGGCTTTCCTCCTGGAGTTGGATGCATCCTTATTGTAAGTTGCTTATATGAACCTTAGAACTGCAACTAAAGCGTGATAGATGTTCAATCGTTTCCACAACCATGTAGTGAAACAATTGGCGACGATAAACGAGAATGGACGCTTTACACCCCCCAAGGACAATCTACCAGACGATAAGAAGCAAGCAGCCTGGAAAAAGTACGACAATGATCTCTTTCAAACTGGACGGCTTATTACTTGCGGTCTCTACATTAACATTATTCTACTCGATTATCTCCGCACAATTGTCGGTCTGAATCGGGTCAATTCTACCTGGTAAGAGTTGTTGGAATTGAGACAAGAAATGTGTGTAGCTAAAATTAAATAGGACTCTTGATCCTCGGATCGAAATGGAAAGAAATGGCAAGCCCGGAACTGCCGCTGGAGTCGGGAATCAATGTGCCGCCGAATTCAACCTGTAAGCCTTTCAATTAATTGCCTTCTCATAATTAAAGCTAATTGTATATAGCGTGTATCGATGGCATTCCTGTATCAGTCAACGTGATGAGAAATGGTCAGAAGATCTGTACATGAAAATCTTTGGGAAGAGCTACAAGGAAGTCACTATGCAGGAGCTTCTTATTGGTTTGGGTAAGCTCGAAGCAATGACACCAGAAGATCCGCTACAACGAGACTTCGCTGGTATGAAGAGAGGCACTGACGGAAAACTCAATGATGATGATCTTGTTAAAGAATTGACCGCCAGTATTGAAGACTTGGCTGGGTCATCAGGAGCAAACAACGTTCCTGCAGTCCTTCGTGCTGTTGAAATCCTTGGGATGGAACAAGCTCGTGCATGGAAGTGCGCAACTCTAAATGAATTCCGCAAACACTTCGGCCTTATACCACATGAAAAGTTCTCAGATATCAATTCAGATCCAGCCGTCTATGAGAAATTGAAGGTTCTGTTCGATGAGCCTGATTTGGTGGAACTTTATGCTGGATTAGTTTGTGAAGATGCCAAAAAGCCTATGGATCCAGGTGTTGGCATCGGACCGACCTATACAATCAGTCGTAGTATTCTTTCTGATGCAGTTACATTGGTTCGTGGTGACAGATTTTACACCACCGACTATCATCCAGCAAATCTTACGAATTGGGGTGTCACTGAAGTCAACTATGACTTAAACGTTAATCAAGGTTGTGTTTTCTACAAGTTGTTCATCCGAGCTTTTCCGAATCATTTCTCGCATAACAGCATCTATGCCCACTATCCTCTTACGATACCGTCTGAAAACAAAAAGATTATGGAGAAACTTGGCCGTGCAGATGACTACAGTTGGGACAAACCAATTAAGGTTCCAGAACGAAAGAATATCGTCACCTATGACGGAGTCAAGAGTGTTCTTACTAACGCGGAAGCATTTGGCGTTGATAATTGGCGCAGAGGTTTTGCCCATCTCATGGGAAAACCAGGTATGTAAGCTCGTTGCGAAAGCTATACACTCAGTACTAATATTACCTTAGGTGCCAATTTCATGTTAGCTGGTGATGGCGACTTCTTTGCCGAGCGTCGCAATCAAATGAAGGAATGTCTTTACCAAGACAAATGGCACGAGAGTGTTAAGAACTATTACGAAAGCATTGTTCCAAAACTTCTCAAGAGATGGTCCTATAATATCGGTGGCACGACCAACCAGGTTGATGTCATTCGCGATATTGACAATTCCGGTGAGAATTCCGTCAACTTGGCCCCTTCTGTTTTTATCTAACACTACCTAGCTCATGTTCACTTTGCCGCCAACGTTTTTCACCTCCCACTCAAGAGCGAAGAAAATCCCAAAGGTGTATATACCGAGCATGAATTGTACATGGTGTTGGCTGTTATCTTCATTGTAATCTTCTTTGGTGATGTCGACCCAGCCAAAACCTTTGCACTACGTGCTGCTGGTCTTCCAGTCACACAAGATCTTGGTCAACTAGTTGAGCAAAATGTGAACTTTATCTCAAAGACTAGTCTTGTATCAGGTATCGTTGATACTTTCATGGAAGAAAACAACGCACTTAAAGATTATGGTGTGCACATGGTACGCCATTTGTTGAAGGCTGGCTTAGGCGTTCACGAGACTGTGTTAGTGTATCCTTCAATCCTTCACTATGTTTACTAATATTTTTAGTTGGTCACAAATTTTGCCCACAGCAGGAGCGATGGTAGCAAACCAAGCACAAGTTTTTGGTCAAGTCCTTGATTTTTATCTTGGTGATGGCAAAGAACATCTTCCGGAGATCAACCGTCTTGCAAAGCTCAACACAGTAGAAGCAGATGATATCCTTTTGCATTATTTGTTAGAAGGAATTAGTAAGCTATGTCTGTCTAATCTGTTTATGCCCCGTGTTAACAATATATAGGAATGTACGGCACATTCGGTGCTTACCGCACATGTCATCAAAACATTACTGTCAACGATGGATCTCGCAAAGTCGATTGCAAGCCTGGCGATTCAGTCTTCGTCAGTTTCGTATGTCTTTCCCTCTGTAGATCTCATGAAGATAAACTAACAAACCTCAGGTTTCACTGGCTCAGGACCCTAAAATCTACCCCGACCCAAAGAAAGTCCGTCTAGATCGTCCAGTTGATTCTTACCTCGTCTATGGCGTCGGTTCTCACGCTTGTCTCGGCGCCGAAGCTTCACGTGTAGCTCTTACAGCCATGCTCAAATGTATTGGCCGACTTGACAATCTGAGAAGAGCATCTGGTCCTCAGGGCGAAATGAAGAAGATCCCAAGAGAAGGAGGATTCTATGTTTACATGGATAAGATGATGGGATCCGAATTCCCCTTTCCGACTACAATGAAGATCTGTTGGGATGGAGGGTTGAATGAGCCGGCACCAGTGGTGGAGAAGGGTAAAGGGAAAAAGAATGGCGCATGACCAGCCGGGGATAATGCTGCTGATTCAGAAGATTGGAATTGCTGGTAATGGTTTGAATGGAGCAGAATGAATGGGTTGCAATGAATTTGAAAGGATGAAGAGGGGCCTGGGTATGGATCTTCGGGGAATAATTTACTTGCGATTTCTTTCGCTTATTGGTCTAATGCGTTGGATTCGAATTTGGCTTTGCGATAATTTGAAGGTTGAGGTGGCGAGGTTCCGCTCTCTATTTTTCTTGTGCTTTGTTCGATACCTTGCTAATTGATGTTAATCTATCTATTGAAATTTGGTGGAAGTGGCTAATTTGAGGGATTTTGGCTCGCAATGATATCTTGCATTTTGGCTTCAAGAGACTTCTTCGTTTACTGCTTGGTGAAAATTGAATGTTTTAATGTCCCATGTGTCAGCTCAGTATTTGGAACCTGCGAGAATACTAAAAGAGTTGGGAGATTTACCCTGATTGAGTCTCCATACATACAATACAATACAGGGACGAAGTGCATACCTATGGTTGATTATTAGGATTTTCACTTCAATATAGACCCAACTATCAGAGTGGTACAGAGAGTTGCGTGTCTTTTGGAGGGAAAGTCGTGTTAGGTAGGAGATCTACTATCTTGTATATATTACTAATATGCTAGTAGCATAGGAACTAAGAACGGGCTAGTATAAAACCTAGCGCTGTTTTTAGTAATGGAAATCTTCTGGGTACAAGTCATAAGTCGTTTAGTATCGTCTCTATGTCTAGATTGTGTGCATCGTGTGCATTTATCTTGATGTTTCGGATGATAGATGGATGCATAGGATTTAGTCTTTCTGCTGTTTCTATATCGGAGGGAGAATTCAGGCTCACTCGTTTGATGATATTTACAACGGCAAATTACTCTCATGCCCCCCAAACGTCATTTAAATCATTCTCATGCCCTAAAAATCATACTTATTTTACTCCCATACTTTTAGATCCTATGTGAATTCTATAATAGAATCTACCCTATAAGAAAAAACTTCGAAGGAAAAGAAGTAATATATCTATAGAACCTACCCTCCCATCATAGAATCTAGCCTAAAATGGATAGGTTCTATTACAGAATCCATGGGGCATGAGAGCGACTCGCCTCTCAATTTTAGGGCATGAGAGTAATTTGCCGTACTTTTAATAGCGAAAAATAGTCTGTTAGTTTATTGTGTCGTGTAAGTGTTTTATCACGATATGTGGGGGTCATATAGAATGAAGATCCAATGCTAAAGCGATAGAGAGCAAAAGATGGTTTTGGTGAGATGGCAATAGTCAGGTTATTTGATTGTTAATGTATTAGTGTTTAACGTCAGGCGGAGCCGAGGGTTAAGGTCAGAGATCTGGAGACTTCCCTACGAGTATGAGGGTATGCTATGCTAAGGTCTTGATTATATTTAATGCTTTCTGTAGAAAGCAATTCTAGATTATATGGAAGGATCTAGGATCCTGTTGAATATGATATTCCTTGCCGTTTGGGATGGAAACACACTGCTGGACGACTTCGAAGAGTCGGAAAGCAATTTCAAAAAGTAGAAGAAAATTATCAAGGATTCGGAGGCTCGGAGTATAAATGCCTACCCTGAAGTGACATAGATTTTATTGGTGTGATGATTTCGAGGGCGTCTTCGTTTGTTAGTTTTCGTTTCGAGGCCGGCAGAATGACAATCGTTATGCAGATTAAATCACCAAGTGTAACTTTCGTGAAAGTTGGAAATATGATGGTATTTAGTCGTATATTTTATTACCAAGTTCAAGAAAAATGAAATAAAAGCCCATCATTATCATCATTATCAGCAGCAGCAGCATCATCAAGCTATCATCGTACCTCATTGTCTCATTGTCTCATGAGTGATTAACCCATTCGCAGCGAAACATCCCACAGCACCAACCCACATCAGCTATCCAAGAGACTTGAAAGAAGCATATGTCTGAGCAATGCTGACTGCAAGTGACGCCATTGCCAAGAAAACACTGACGGCCCCAAAAATTATGACTCCCCAGAATGTATAATAATTGAACGAATCTCTGCTGTCCCTCCAGAGCTGTCGAAAACCACGCGGTTTCTGCTTGTCCATATATTCTCGGAGGATCCGGACACGATATTCAAGAGGGCCGAAATGGGTGTAAAGTAATTCGGATTTATTTTGGAGGGCGAATTCAATCTTGTGAGAAGGAGAACTGTGATACCACTCCAAGAAGGAGTATTCTGACGAGGTGATTGTATTATTATCCTTCCACAGTGTTTCTGTTGGACATCCATCCTCAGTAATTATAGATCTATATAGCTTTTTGTGATCATTCGAAGCTGAATTTAACAAATCCCACGTTTTGTGAACGCCGTCAATTATGCGGAGTCCATTCGTTTCGGAATCACTCGTGGGATCAAAAGCATTCCAAATAGGCGTAGCATTAGAGTGAAACCTTGGTATAAATGATTAGGTACACTAGGTCTCGAATCTACGACACCACTCACCGCGGAAAATCCCTCGAATCGTCGAATACATTTGAGAATTCCTCCACGCTTCCGAAAAATGCGACGAACAATTGCTTAGTTTCTGGATTGAGAAGCAAATGTTCCTCCAGTACATCTGTCCAAACCAATTGTAGACCGCCGATTGCTTTTAACGACTTAAAATTTAGATCATTAATAACGAGAGATGTTGAAGAAGGATTGCATATTCTGCTGATTGGGAAAGTTGGTTGCTCCTTAAGAAATCGGATAATGAGCATAAACTCGTGCAGCTCCAGCGCAAGAGCTTCTTCAGTCTTGATGTATGAGAGCCACATGCGAAAATTTACACTAAATGAAATAGGTCGGTGATGGTAGGGCTGTGGATCAGGCTCTAACCTTAGATAATCGTCAAATGTAGGCATGATATCTGCAAGCAATCTAATGCCTTTTTTATTATTCGCTACCACCCTTGAAAGGACTCCAGTACGAAAACAGTACGAAAGTACAGATCCAATGGTTGCATGACCACGATATGTAGCACCGTTGCATACCATTTGAGCATAACAAGTCCCGATGATAATAGATTCCCTCGAAGCTGCGGTTGCGATTAAACGTCTTCGAAGCCATGATTTTCGTACCGCCACGTACCACTGGCTATGAGCAACATCAAAGGATGGGTGAGACCTATACAATTTAATGAAATACTTCTGCCATATTGTCTCGAATGATGGTTCAAAAGTTTCGTCGTCCTGGGATTCCCCAAAGTAACCAAATCCATCAAAATCGCTGGGCTGAAAGTCACTCAATGCGGCTTTGTCAATTGTAATTTTCAAGGGCGAGTCTGGACTTATTTCTTTCAAACGGAAAGGATTCCCACAGGCTCTATAGAAGAATGGATCAACAAATTTTCTCTGAGTCGCTGTAAACCATTGCTGGTCCCCGAGTCCAGGAAGAAACTCATTGATAGATTGTTGAATAAGTTGGCCATCAATTGGTGTGTCAAAAACTCTATCTGGTAGAGAAGAAGCCTCAAAGGTTTGGGGACCTGGATTTTTTGATTCATTTTCTAACGCTTCGTATTTTGGATCAGAACCAGCACCCTTCGTTCTTCGCCGATTCTCTCGTAAAATTCGAATACCATGTTTCAACCACTCTTCTAATTTTGCAGCGGGAAGCGTGATCGAATCTTCATCTTTGTCCTCCAAAGCAGCTTCAACACTGTGTGTGGGTACCGATGATTCTGGATGTTCGCCTGTCGGATCTGGGCCACCAGACAGCAAACTGGATTGGGATTTATTTTCGTCTGAGAAAACGAGTTAGTTTCTGTATCAAAGGAGTAATGCAGTTTGATTTTCTGTACCCGAGGAAGAATCTTCTTTGATGCTTGCGCTCTGTACACTTGGCTGAGATCGCTGGCTTTTCATCTCGACATCTGTCAACTCGACATCCACCATTGTGAAAAATAGTCCAAGATAGCTTAAAGTAAAGGTAAATTTAGTTTCAAAGTTTGTATATGAGAACGTAAGAGCAAGGTCAAGGTACAATATCACTCAAAGCTTCGCGTCGTCAGCTGGCTGAAATACAGCTCATTCATTTTGGGGGAGGGGGCCAATGATACACCATACATAATCTAAATCCTGGAAATTTGATACGTATCCACGCACCGCATGCTTCTTTCTATAGGACGACAAGATAATTGATCCACGATCTTTATTCCGTAAACTTCTCAAAGTCGCGATACTACGATAGCTCCAAGAAGTAAGCAATTGAGCTTTCAGTAAAGTCTTTTTTTTGGAGTTGAGTATCTCAAGATTACTTTAATCGATCGATAAATCGACCACAAGTAAAATCAGTAAAACTTCATAGGATCAACCAGAAGCTTGAATTTTTGTGGACTTTAGATTCCGCAATATCGTGTCATCTATATTGAAATTAAAAATAACCGTCCAAATAAGTATTTGCTAACAGTTCTCATTTCTGGCCAATTATTTCGCTTATGGATAGTCGAGGTAATCCAAGAAAATGATCGAAAATATTGAAGTAACCATATTTCAAAGAATTCATCAGTGCTCTCCCAACATCCTGCTAACGACTCAACACTATGTGTAGTACATGAGTGAAAAGCGCAGAACCTGAAAGTTATAGGAGAAGAGAAAGTACGATAAGTATAATTAAGGGGAAGGGGAGTACGCCCACGATTTCCTCCCCTTTTGCCAGCGACAATGGATTTTGATCATACAGTTGACCGCGTCAGCTATGGTGATTGAGATTCCTTGCCACGAATCAAATATTCGATAGTCATACCAGCTTGCCAAGCACTGTGTACCCCATATAACCTCAATTTCAACAGAAAATTTTTATCGAATCTTCAATCGGCATTCAGTACTGCAAGCTACCAATAGAAAACATATTCCATTGACCACCGCAACAAATGACAGAGATACCTCACATATACAACTTAAAACTCAAGAACAAATGCACCCAAGAAGCAACTACATCAACAGCATCAATTATCCAGACTCACCTGCACTCTCCATAAACCTCTCAAAAAGTAATCATGAATCCCAAATCCAAAGAAAGAAGCTAAGTATCACTTAGGAGAAGACACCGCAAACCCCACGAAACTATCCCAGGTTCCTAGAACACCATACCCTTCCTCTGTCTCTTCCTCTTCCTCTACCCGCTCTCCCCTCTCACACAAACTGCAAAAACAAAACACTCAAACAGAAGAACTCATCCCAGCATACCATTTATCTCTCCCGACTTCGGGATTTGCATACTACAGAAAATTTGATAGCTTAACTCTGTTCATTTCCTCTGTATGTCTATCAATGAAAACACGATGTTGATATTTCGCTTGAGTATCGTACACCACATCAAGTCCCTATGTACAATATTTACAGTCCCCCCTCCCACCTTCCAATCTGTCCATAAACCTCCTCTCAATTCTCCCCTTTCCCTCCCCATCGCCTTCTCAACCCCCAGTCCCCCATTTCCCACCTATCATCCAAACATCCAAAGTCACCCCCAATCCTCTCAAAAAGCACACCCAAAAACACACCCAAAAGAAACAGAAGAAAAAAAACTCAGAATACATGTACGCAAGTACGTATTTATGTATGTACTCTATGATTATTAAGCAACTAATGTAAGTTATGTAGGTATGTAATGTATGGTATCTCAACTATAGGCATTTCTCCCAGGTAGATTGAGGACCTGAGTATTTTGGGTATTCAACTTCGACTTCTCTCGGGTATTTTCATCTCCTCTCCCCACTTTATCTTCTCCCCTTTCCTTTCCCCGCCCTTCACTCCTTTTCGAAAGATAACCCTTCGCACGCACTAAGAACTAAAAATTGTACAAAAGAACAACAGACATGATCACCCACCACAAACCATTCTTCCAGATCCACGCTCCAGCTCCGCGCTTAAAACAAATGTGACAAAAGAGAAGCCAGATAGCGTATAATATGTGCAAGAAAACTGTGTCCGTCAAGGGGTGCGAGGGCCTCCATCCATCCATCCATCCATATCCATCCATACCCTCCCATCTATCCCTCGTAAAAAAAAAAAGAGATCCACCTATAACATAGCATAATTGTTGTATCATGTTATGTTTGTTGTAGATCGTACCCAGAAAATCTCCCATTACTTTCTTTCCCTCCAAGTATCATGACGTCTCTTTATCTCTGTCGACATCTCCACTTTATTCCTCTGTTAAATCTCCACTCAACCCACTTCCCACCGTACTCGCTTTTTTCCCCAACCTTAACACACTAAACCTCTTCCTCACACTTCCACCAAATCCACTACTATTACTTCCCATTCCAATACCCATTCCCATTCCCAGTCCCCCTATACCTTGACTACTACCTGTCCCCGTGGTGCCTGGTCGGCGCTGAGAACTACTGCTTCTCCTTCCATTAGCTACATTACTTGTAGTATAGTTTCCCTGAGGAGGCTGAACCGAAAGATCGCTCTGCGTTATCCATTCCTTAGAATCTTCCATGCTATGCGACAAATCATTCTCTTCAGAAATCGCAAAATCATCTACAGCTTCTTTTCGACCACGGTCCTTGTGGGTTATGGAAATACCATTCATACTTAATCCATTCCCACTAAAGAAGCTCTTGCGAGTTTCTTTCTTCGGAGGGCGATTTTCTCGATCGTCGCTTCCACTTCGATTGAGGAGGAATGAACTGAGACGTTTAGAAGCACCAGTTGCGCGGGTGTGATCGGGACTATCGAGAATGCTAGTATCGATAGTACCGTGTGTGAAAGATTGGGAATGGGGAAGTGCCAGATGTCCCTGTGAATTATTCATGAGATCTCCCTTGGATGATGAAGGCGAAAGTGTCCAGCCTGGAACGAGGCCTGGGGAAGCATTTGAGAGAATTGGCAGGGGAATTTGTAGAGAGGCGAGCTCGGACGCGAATGTTTGTTCAAAATCTGTGTGACATGTAAGCAAACGAAAATTACAAAGGAAAGATGGGGATTTACAGTGCTGCAAATCATCCTGGCTGTGAAGATTAGGCGATTTTGCAAACATGGCTAGGCATCTTTTGATCATAATTGCATGATCTATCAACGCAATTTTGAGGGCATTTTCTATCGGTCCTAGCTCTACCGTTTCCCCTTCTTCGTCCTCACTCTGTATTGGATTAGGCAGCAATTCTCTATATCTCGCTATACTGGACTCAGAACTAGGATCCACGGATATATTTATTGCTTCAATTAAAAGTGGTGCAATGTCATCTTCGCCATCTGCAATCCTCTTTTCCACGGCAGTCATCTCTTGAGTTTTGCGAATGATTCGTTCAAGAGCTGTTTGGTGAGCATCAAGCTTATATCTATCCACGGAAACAATCTCGCTGCGGCGAAGAATTGTCGGAAATGTATCTACAGTAGTATAAATTATTTTTTCAGCTGAATGATCACTGATTGGGCCTGAAGTGGTGCGACGAGATGTGGTAGAGAAATAACGAGGATTTGCGGAGAGTAAATAGTCTCGAATGACTTGAGGGACTTTAGAACGTTGGAAGACATGATGAGCAAGATCTCGATGCGGACTCAAGGAGGATATTTGCAAGAATTGGCCCTCTACATCGTCCACATCGCCAGCAGTGACAATCTGAGCCGAAGGATGTTGCTCTTGCATACGATCTGTGAACACCGAAGTTCGCTCATTAGGAGATCCCTCAAACACAAATTCCTTGTCGCGCAAGCTTTGAGGAAAACCCATTCCTCGGTAAATAACACGGAAATACTTGGGAACGATTTTGTCGGCCTTGGAAATCGATTCATATATTGTGGCAATCGCTCGCTGTGTTCTAGCCAACTTAGAGAAATCGAAAACATTCTCTTCGTACTGATATTGCAGTTCTTTGTATGCGGACAGGGCACTACTCCATGCCTCGCCCTCTTCAAAGTTTTTGATCATATCGAAATAAATTCTTTCTTTTCGATCGAAGTGAGATTGGGCAGGGAAATCTGGTTCATCCAACGGAGGCAGTATTTTTGAAGGATCCCATTGGTATAAGTCGGCATGAAGACGCAATGCAAGTCCGGCTTCAGTGTGGTTTCCAGCATTTGTTTGCAGCTCTGCAAGTTGATGGACGTATCGAATGAAGATATCCTCCTTCTGCATATCTCGAAGAAATTCCATTAATCGTAAGCGATGAATCATATGAGAAGCTTCACCAGTGACGTCCGTACTATTGACCGCAACGAGAAGATCGAGGAATTCATCAGTGGTACCAATGAGATCTTTTATAGCATTGTAAAGCGGATCATCTGGATTTCGAGACAAGTTATCAAATAAGGTGAATAGCTCATTGATGAACAATTTCTGTAGAATGCTTTCTGTTAAGGGCTTCGATTTGAAGAGCTGATCCAGGCACTCGATAATTCCAGTTTGAATAGCGCTTAAATCTTCACTCAAGGTCCATTCGCTGACAATCATGGTCTGGAGAACTTCCACTGCGACGCGCCTAAGACCTTCATGTACACTCAGACACAACTCGAGGATGGGTCCGACTAGTGCAGGCACATATTGAACTTGGTAACCTCCCATTTTGGCCAATGCGTATTTCTGTCGCTCTTCAGGGGTAGTATCCCAACCAGTGAACTCCCACGTTCGCCTCAGGAGCTCTGCGCCATTCTCACGCACATCACCAGCAATCTTCCATACTGCTCTTCGTTTCTGCTCCGGAAATGTTTCTAGTGCCAAAGAATCACTGCCGACGAGTTTGAGTAAAGTAGTGAAGAATGCTTTCCACAATTCTGTGTTATATTCTTCCGCATCGTCAGGGTGAGGCAAGAATCCGTCCAGAAGAATGCCGGCCAAATACTCGAGTGTTTTGAGTGTTGATTTGTGGTGGAAGATGCGAATGCTTAGCCAGTTTTGCGGAAATGCCTCACATTCTAATATGCTTAGATGAATTTTCAAGAGACCC